TCAGCACCTCTCCTGGTTCTCACATCTTCCATTGTCCTTCGGAATTTTTTGTTGATGCAAATATGATCTATTTGGTTCTCTGTAGTGTGGTCCGGTGAGATCCATGTAGCCTTGTGTATACGCTTGTGTGGAAATATTGTGCCTCCTATGACCAATTTGTTGAATGCGCATAGATTTGCAAATCTTTCTCCATTTTCGTTTCTTTCTCCCAGTCCATGTCGTCCCATAATATCTTCATATCCAGTGTTGTCTATTCCGACTTTGGCATTGAGATCTCCCATCAGAATAGTGAGGTCTTTTCTTGGGCATTTCTCTATCACTGACTGCAGCCGCTCGTAGAATTGATCTTTAATGTCGTCGTTGCTATCATTGGTGGGTGCATAACATTGGATAATATTCATTAAGATCCCCTCCTTCTTTGTTTTGAATGATGCTTTGATGATTCTGGATCCATGAGATTCCCATCCTACAAGTGCATTTCGTGCTACTTTGGACAGCATAAGAGCGACTCCCTGAGTGTGTGGAGCATTGTCCTCTTCGTGACCGGAGTATAGCAGCATCTCTCCCGTAGCTAGCCTTTTCTGTCCAGCTTGGGTCCAGTGGGTTTCGCTGATTCCCAGTACCGCTAAGTTGTATCTCCTCATTTCCATTGATATTTGACTGGTCTTCCCGGTTTCCCACATTGTTCGAACGTTCCATGTACCTATAAAAATTTTTGCTCTGGTTGTTAGAAGGGGCATCGGCCTCGTGGCTTCCGAAGGAACTCGGCTTTCACCATGAAGCGTCATAATTCTTCTAAATGAAGACCTTCTAACTCCCAGGGCAGAGTTAAAATGGTTTGGATTATTTTTTCTGGTAAGCGTTTTTTTAGCGAGTTAGTTTTCTACGGGATGGGGACGCTAACCCCATGCCCAACCCTCCTCATTTACCCGGGCTTGGGACCGGCAGCAACACTATAAGAGCTACAGGCGGAGTTAAGACGAAAATCTACAAACGCTATTTTAGATTATTGTGTCATAGATACTTTGCACTTTAGTTGACTGAATCCTAATGCACTGTAACAATCCTCATGTAATTCCCATGAGTGGCATTGTAGACCAATCTAAACTGACAAGTCTGTTAAAAATTGTGGGGTGAAAAATGCAGAAAGAATGAAGTTTTGATTTCGTTTCGTAAGCGGATCGTTCTAGTGACATTTTGAGTATATGTCGAATTACATAATAAAGTTAAACAGTAGCTCATACTTTGGACAAGGGTGTATGAGTCTGACTGAACTCATGACTGAGCGCATCAACCTTTACCTATCTATCATTGTTTGTTTACATAGGCATTCAATAACTTACCCACTACTGACTAATACTCGCTAAATACATATAAATATTTCAACTTTTTACTCACACACTTCCTATTGTGCCCACATTTCCTGTGCACTCAGGTTTTATTAATTATAATTCATACACTGACCCAGCATCTGGTGTTCTGGCTTTCGAATGTTGTCAATTAAATTCATAGTACTGCTAGGAGAATTATGAAGTTTAAATACTCAGTTAACAACATATCATCTCTTGGGCAAAGAATAGAGGTGGGGAACAAAGTGGCTAATAAGTCCAAAACATAAATTTCACGGCGATAGATTGCAACATATTACCAACACATTATCAGCAATATCCTCGAGGCAACCCTTCAGAGACTTCATACCGAAAAGCAGACACCCAGGTACAGCCTCATTTTTTCTCATTGAGCGTTGCTCTCTTTTGGAATGCTGTCCCAGACGAAGTGACTACAGCCTCATCAGTAGAGACTCAGCAAACATTTACTCATTCATCGATTATCATCAACCTCCTCAACCACTTATGTCTGATTCATGTTTCACAAGTTACTGTGATTATCATCACCTCATTTCTCGCTTATTATCAACCCTGTTACCCCCTTATAATTTTCAATAAGTCTTCTTACACATTACGAACTAAGTAAATTAAGTTTTTACTATTAGGCAAATCGTCTTCTTTTAGAACTTAAATTATCAGCTAACTGCCTTTACGTCGCGACAAGCCAAACTGCTGCCTGGTTATGTGATAGTTGCTGGTATCTAGTATCTCTATTTCCCTGAAAGAAGTCCACGCACTCGAGCTATAAAATGTACATGTTCACAAGTAACTACCACACTGACTAAGGTTAGTGAAATGAGGCGGCTGGACTACCATCTATTAGACGATACCAGATACATGAAACCGTACTGTAACAACAACAAGTTTGTCAAATATGCTGGGTATTGGATATTTAATTACCACCTTCAAAGTCATAACAACAAAACGCGGAATTATAAATTCCGTTGGGTATTTTAGTGTTGAAACAGCTTGTTAGGACTCTGTTATATATTTTGTCATTTCTCAAGTCCTTATTCCCAGTTTAATTTTCCACCCACGAACGTTTTCACACCGAAACTAGTCTAAAAAATCACTTCAAGTTACGAAACATTTATAAAATCCCGATAAAAGTCAGATATTTGCCAGGAATAAACTAAATTGGTTGATAAAACAAGTACTTAACGTTTTTAAAATGATCTTAAAAACTGTCGCGTCTTTCAGCATACACTGAAAAGCTAATGTTTATTCTTGTATATTTGATTTGAAAGTGCTGATGATTTTGATCGCTCATCTTGACATTATTATACTCACCTATATAATAAGGACGTCAGGCTCAGCAAGAAGAACGATTTGTTCTGCTTTCCATCGTTTAACGCGGTGCTGGCTTTGGGAAACACACACAAACGAAAATGGGGTTATCTGAAGTCTTAAGTTAGATGATTCTAATTATCTACCATTACAGGATTTGAATCCACAGCTGCATCTCTGTGCTAATGTGGTGTGGCAACTCGAACTGATGTACGTACGTACGAAGTTCTACGTTGTTACTGACTGACTGACTGACTGACTGAAGTTAGATAATTCAGAGTTCTAAGACTCAAGAAAGAAATCCGTTTTTCAAAGTTTAAGACTTGTGTAATGCTAATGCGATTTGGATTTGTGTTGTATACCTGTTCCAAGACTAAATTTTCATGAAAATTGCATGGGCAACATATACTTCGAAATATGTGAAAGAGCCCAGATCAGAATTTTGTGGTTTGAAGGTGCTTTTTTACAAGTACAACATGCTCTGTAAACTTAATCTATCTTTAGCCTTAACTCCGAATTCTTAATTTAAACGTGATTGTTGTTGAATGTTAAACTTCATAGGGATGGTACAACAGACAACATAAATCTAGTAATTCGTGAACTAACCAAACGTAATTTTTGAGCACCCACACTGTTTATGCTGAGAACTACTACTGTATAGACTGATAGCTGTTACATTGCTTTGGTCTACTCTAGTTTTCAGTTATCGGGTTCGCATTTTCATGTAGTTTGCCATTTAAAAGTAAGTCTTAAGTCCTTTTGAATATATACATCAGTACATCCCTTGATTAGTTATCCTTTGGAAAGCGTCAAATAAGCTAATTAAAGCGTTAATCACATTCAAAAGCTTCTTATTGTATGAAGTTCAGAGTGAAATCAGAAAACCCAGTAACAACAACCGTATTACGGCCTTTAAAACGTTTTGTTTATCATGATTAACCAACATATTATGACAGAGGTTTGGCCACGTTATGTTCTTCACTCACTTTGAAGAATAGATTCAACCTGAATAACTTCTATTATTCCGAATGTACGATAAATGGTCTCTCACATCATTTTTTACAACTATGGACTATCTACCTAACAGTAATCAAATTATTTCTCAGGGTTAAATTTTCGCAAGTCGTACGTAGCCACAAGCTGTGTAGGTCAAAATTTAAAGAAAAGCAGACGCGAATATTCTAGAATCAGATTATGTAACTGGAAGGTATTCTTATAACCTAACTTGTTTTATATAGGAAATATCCAGAGGGCGTAAGTAAAGCGGAGAAAGTGAATAGTTTTGTTACAGCTTCAAACACATTTTTTGATTTGTTGTGAACCCCAGCTATAGAATAACCAGGGATAAATATTAGTTTCACGAAATATAATCAATCCGAGACTTTGATATGACGGAATTAAGAAGTCAAGTTTCAAATAGCGGGGATTGGCCCTTGTTTTTCATTGTGATAGAAGTGAACACATAGAACAAAACATTTAATTATACAACAGTTGTGTTAGTTACACTCCATGGTGAAAGGAAGAAAGTACTCAAGGTTACAAAGTTGATGCAGTTAATTAGTAAAATGCGATACTGACTTTATAAAGTGGTTCATGAAGGTGGTTTTTAATGTGGAAAACTATTCAGAAATAGTGTGTTAGACAAGTATTTTTTCTTATTCTGGGCGGCCAATAAAAGCGTATGTCAATCATTTTGTCGCGACTTGAGTAAAGAAATAATGTGTAGACAGTAAGTTAGCAAATCAGCAACTTAATTATGAGTTGTAGTTCTGAGGAGTTGAGTACAGTTTCTTAATGAATAAATCACTTGCCTGGTTTCGTCTGGTTTTAAACGATTTTCTATTTGATATTGCTGTGGTGTCTTCAGAAACGTTCTAATAAAAGAAAGCACTTTTAAACAGACTTTTTTCCTAATATATTATGTTGGGATGGATCGAAACTACCCAGCTGTCCAGAAAGAATCATATTACAAAACTACGGTCTACTTATACAATACCGAGTAATGTAATCAATAAGCCACCATTTGACTGATAGTTTGTGATCCGGAAAATATGTTTAAAAATAACATTGCTTTGGTAAACGTGATTTCCACATTAGACAGTTTTACCATAGAAAACTTTCCGCAGAAACGGGTACATGATGAGAATAAGCAGTTAATACCGGACTACAATCGTAATTCTGAATAAATGTTGATGTTTAAACGTATCACGTTTCAGTTAGGCTAAATGAATTATGATCCGTTCAGTTTCATTCAAACTAATGACTTTTGTTAATATTTGATAAAAGTTTTAATTTGTTTCCTTATGTTATTGTACAGATTTTAAAGTTTCATTTTATGGCCAATTTATTTGTCTGGTCTCAAAGTGACAAAATACTTATTTCTGAATGTTCACTTTATTTCACAGTGAGGCTTGACAGGCAAAATGTAAATAAAGTTATTTTACTAAAGAATTTGGAGGAAACCATCAAATTTTAAGTGTTTATTATAAAACTCCCTTAACATAGTCTAGTTTTAGTTTGATTCTTTTGTTTTGTATTCGCAGCAACTTTTCAATATGAATTAAATATAGTACGCATGAAACACTTCTATCTATTTTCAGACTATCTCTGGCATAGATCGTACCATATGCATCTGATGTTCTGTTAAAAGGTTTTTGATAAAGCTTAGTTTATTGTGTGAATGGCCGTTTACGTCGATCGCAATATATTCCATATTGGCACTAGCTCATACACGAATGATGTATTTCATGATATTCCAAAGGAAATCTTCAATTACCAGTCAAAAGATCATAATAGCAATTACTTCCTAGACAATGCAAACACTAGTGTTGACGATAATTTTACAGCAAAAGGTACAAATTATTATAGAGAAGTGAAAGAATGGTTAAATGATGATTTGTTTCAAGGTGGAGTTTTTGATGGAAAGCGTAATGCATGGGGTTGTTATCAATGGGACAATGGTGAAGTAAGTTCCTCTTTTAGTCACCTCTTCCAATCATTTCTTACGAGTTAAGGCAAAGTATAGTAAAAGTGGTGAGGATCATCCATTAGAGAATTCAGTCAAAATTCCTGTAAACAGTTATCATTGACTCGGAAGTATTTTTATAAACTGTCACTCCATTAAGGTTTGTTATGAAACTCTTCTATCAAATATCCTTCCAACCAATGTACAGTTTTGTTAAATTCTTCACAGAACCTTGAAGTGAGGTTAAAGAGTTCAGAGAGTTGTTAAATTATTTCAAGAAAACTCCCAATTCAGTAAGAGAAGTTGTCAGTCGTTTAATTTCTCGATAATTACGTTCAAGGGTTTTAGTAATTTATAAAATAGGGGGAAACTGATGGGAAAGATAATTTCCAGCAAAACATAGTCTTTTACCACTCTGAATGTGTACTTTACACGTTGGAACAATAAACAAACTTTAAAAAGGATAACTGGATGAGTATGAAACCTGTAAAAAAACGAAACCGATGAAAGTTTTATGAAGAAAAAGTACTGAAATAAACATCTGTGCAACTGAGACTGATTTTTGGTTTTGATTAGTTTATAAGGTTCATTCACTTTCTTAAATTTCTCAAGATATCTATCACAAATACAACAGGAGAACAACATTTTCGGTAGTCTGACATGTGTAACTTACGTTTTGTAGGCTGATCAGCTTGTTCTTTCATTATTTTTTGATAAATAAAACTTTCGTCAAAAATTTTACTCAGTAGAAGACCCTAAAGTAGAAGAGATATATTCTCACATTATCAGAAAAATTTTTTAGAAGACTCTGTATCCTGTCACTGTTTATGTCTGACGAGACCTAGTTATTCACTTACTTTAACTTGATCCCAAAAAGTGGTTTGTAGAAGATCAGTTTACAAGAAGTTTGCTAGAAATATCCTTACATCTAAGATTGTATTTAGGATAATTTTAGATAAACATGGATAGATTAGATTTTCACGACGATCAGTCTCAATGAAGTTTAAGCAAATAGTTTTCGGTAATATGGTATAACCCCGACCATTGTTGCTACCTTGACGTGGTGATCAGGTTTGCCTATTGTGATAAACCAATCGAGCTATGCTGGCTGGAACGATCATTTCTCAAGATCCTACCACCTCAGACAGGTCGACTGTAGAACGGTAAGACTAAAAGTAACGAATCAAAGGTCCGAAGGCGAAGTCGTACTGTTGACTGTACAGAGGTGTGACGGCAGTAAGGTGTTTCCTTCAGACAACCAGTATAACAGGGATACTGTCGTCCCACAAGGAAGTGTGGGGTTAGAAAAGGTCGACCCTAAAAATGCACACCTCGCCTTATCCCACGGATATCCGTCTCCGGCGGCAAGGTCTCAAGAGTTAAGGAGCTAACACGAAAATTACCCACAAAAAGGTCGTGTGTGACCGATCTTTGGCAGTTTTTCCTTGGGCACTGAGGTTACGCTCTCAAGTCACTACGACCACTTTTAATCCAATTTCCTTTACAGGTACTTCCAGAAGAACTCTTCCACGGTGTGCACAACAAGGAAATGATAACCGCCCTCATACCTCTAACGGCACTCAAGACCACCGACTGAATATAGTATAACTACTAAGTGCTAATTTGTATTGAATAATTTTAAAGAAACCTTTAGATCAAATACTGACTTTCTACCAAATAATGTAATGAGAGACGTGGGATTTAAGAATCACTATTGTCAAGGAAATTCTCTGAAGAGTAAAAACATAATCAGTACACTTTCAATCTCTTTGTAAATTAACATTATCTTTCCCTAGTTATGGAATGAATATCATTACTATAGTACTAGGAATACTATCAGTTTGTATCGTTCCCGTAAGGACTAAACGTATATTTTCCTTTTATTTCATTTCACATTTCAATGTGAAAAACTGAAGAACATTCCAAGATGGATAGTGGCTAGCCATGGAATACAGGACGAGCGCCACTTCGTCCTATTTGGGGCTCGTCAGCTGGATGAACTTGCATCTCAGAGTGAATGTTCACTTTGAAACTAGAACCCAATACCTTTCGCCTCAAACGCCATCACTTTATCCACTTAGATACTGAGTCCCATTAGCCACTTGCTTGTGCAATAGGATGAAGTTTTAAACTCACGTGGTATCGTCTACTTGAATCTTCCCATTGATGTTTAAAACTGCAATTGATCATATATACATATATGCACATATGTGCATACTGTGCATATTGCCTCGATATTGTCTTCATTCACAAGCACTCTAAACAAAGATGAATAGGGGCTAGCAATGGAATCCAGTTTTACGCAGGTTTCTTCTTATTTTGAACTCATTCGTTGAATGTACCTGCATCTCAAACTTGTTGATGTTCACTCTGGAACTCGAACCCAACACATATGCCAATATGAAACTGATCAATTGCAGTTTTCAACCTCAATGGGAAGATTCAAGCAAATAAAACCAAGTGAATTTGAAGAAAATTCAGTTTTATAATTCAAAATATACTTTAGCAGTTTCATCCTATGGTTATTGTTCTTGATAAATGTGTAATTTAGGTAATTTTTTCGATCATTTTATCATAAACTGGATCAATATATTATGTTATGTATTGGGTAAGCGCTTGAAAATCTTTAAATGTGTTTTGAAAACTGTTAAAGATTATGAATCTAGATGACGTAACATTCATTAGTAAAAAGACCACCAAAATGCTTAGGGAATTCGTTGGTGAGATAATCATTAAAGACTACCATTATTCTTGATCCGATGGTAGTTTTCGTAGTGCGTAGGTCAAAAAGCATTGAACGCTGACAAAATGCAGAGACTTCTGACCACTCTAAGCAACAATGTAAGCATGTTCGGAATGCGATTCTCTCCCCGTCGAAATGCAGAATGTCACTTCAGGATTGCGTTGCATCGACACCCGAACTAATGATAGAGAGTGAAGTAGTTGAGCGTGTCGACCGCTTCACTAATCTTGGGAGTCTCATAAGTCCTTGTGATCTGGTGTATGAGGAAATCTCAGCACGGATACAAAATGCTCGACTAGCTTTTGCCAACTTGCGTCATTTATGGAGTAGGCGAGATATCCATCTACCAACCAAAGGACGAGTTTACTGTGCAGCAGTTTGTTCCGTCCTACTTTATGGCTATGAAACGTGGCCGGTAAGAGTAGAGGATATTCGTAAGTTACTAGTATTCGATCATAGGTATCTTCGAAGCATTGCTCGTATTTCCTGGGACCATCGAGTAAGTAACACAGTTGTTAGGAAACGGGTACTAGGTAATGATGGCAAATCGATTGACGAAGTAGTGAAGCTCCGTCAGTTGAGATGGCTGGGACATGTGTTATGTTTGCCCAGCCACCGACTGCCTCGACGTACGATGTTTCATGTTGTAGGAGTAGATTGGAAGAAAGCTAGGGGCGGCCAGACCAAAACATGGCACAAGTCCATGAAGTCACTGACAAGTGGACTGATCCATGTTGGTAGGTGTGGAACACCTGTTTGGGATCCGCGAGACGATAACGACCGATGGTTAGGGATCTTGAATGACATGGCTCAAAATCGTTTGCAGTGGCGCAGGTGCATCCACTCTTTGTGTTCTCCCAAATTCTAATCTTCTGAATTCTTCATGTCCCTTTCTTTATTTCTCCAAATTTATTTCACTGGACTATACTCATTGAATAACATCTTCAAACCCTAATCTTTCCGATTACTGCTTATACTTTTACTACCTACGGGATTTGAATAGACAGTTGTATCTGTGTGCTAATATGGTATGACAACTCGAACTGATGTACGTACGTACGAAGTTCTACGTTGTTACTGACTGACTGACTGATTTATTCTAATTTGAAACTTCTCAGCAATGTATGACTATAACCTCTCCAAAGAACAAACGTAGAGACATTATGAATTGTGGCAAGCTAGATGAAACAGTTTTCCAATTACCTTTGATTCTCAGTGATTGACCAACTGTAACTAGTTCATGACGTGAGACAGTTCAAAATGCTATTCAACCTTGAAATCAGCCAAATACTGAATATTCAGTTGAGATACAAACAACACAATTCTTAGAAAGAAATTGTTGGTGAACTGTATTGACACAACACAAGTCTTTCAAACTAGTGACGGGTAGAGTGAATTGTGCAGTAAATGTAAGCTTTCTAAACCTGGCTCTATTAACAGTTAGCGAAGTATTTCAAGATTATAGAAGCAAAAACTAAACAACGGTCTGGTTGATGAAGATATTATTAATGATCAAGGTATGCATTTCAGTGAGTTTATGGAGCTAAAGTAACTCTAACGTGTGTTTAACCCTATTTGAATTGTGGACATCCACTACTATAGAGTCACATATTAGAATGAATCATCTATCCAGTACTTTTACCGATTTTCTAACCAAAAGTCAGTACGAGATTTAAACTTAACTTTAATTAGTCAACCGTGTTATGAATAAGATGTAAATACATTTTTACGTTTTTAGAAATACTTTGGAACATTTTTCAATGATAAAAAACATGGTTACGGTTATTATGTATGGCCTAATGGATCAAATTATTTGGGTACATTTTATCTTGATAAAAGATCAGGTTATGGAATTATGAGATATTCAAATGATTCAATGTATGAGGTCAGTGATATTTCCATAGTTAATTAATATTATTTAAGTATATTAGATGATAATTTTTTGTTTAGTTTTGAGTGTATGTGGAATTATAATCTATTCGTAACTGATGGAGGATTATGAACACTTTGACATCTGAGGGAAAACACGGCATACAATGGACAGCTCAGAACCAATTAGACGATTTGGACTTCACAGATAACCTGGCTCTTCTATCCCATACACACGAACAAATGAAGATGAAGAAAACTAGTGTCGTATCAACCCCTGCATCAGTAGGCCTTAACATACACAAAGAAAAACGCAATATCCTCAAAGACGACACCGAGAACGTCAACACAATCACACTTGGTGGAGAAACTCTGGAAGATGTTGAATCTTTCACGTACTTGGGAAGCATCATTGATGAACATGGAGGATCGGCAAAGCGAGGGCAGCATTCCTACAGTTGATGAACATATGAAACTCAAAACAACTGTCCATCAACATCAAAATCACAATCTTCAATACTGATCTATCGTACGGAGCTGAACATGGAGAACTATCACAACCATCATCAAAATGATACAGGTATTTATAAATAGTTGTCTACGCAAGATACTCAATATCCGTTGGCCGGATACCATCAGTAACAGCCTTCTGTGTGAGAGAACAAATCAGCTTCCAGTTGAAGAGGAAATTAGGAAAAGACGATGGAAATGGATAAGACATACATTACGGAAATCATCAAACTGCATCACGAGGCAAACTCTAACTTCGAATCCTGAAGTGGAAAGAAAAAGAGGAAGGCTGAAGAACACATTATGTCAGGAAATGGAAGCAGATATGAGAAGGATGAACAACAACTGGGAAGAGCTGGACAGGAATGTCTAGGATAGGATCGGATGAAGTGTGCTAGTGGGCGGCCTATGCTTCTCGACGTGCGGTGACAGGCGTAAGTAAGTAAATAAAACTGCTTAAATATGACGGGCCTCATAGATAACAATGAAGGATCATCACCGTTTGTCACTAATTTAATGAGATTGGTCAATATAAATGTCTAATTATTAACTTTCTGTACTACAAGTATAGGATTTTCAGTGAGACATAAAAGTTTGATGAAGAGTTCATTTCGTGATTATTGATAGTTTTAAAGTTAAAAATTAAAACAAAAAATGGTGGTAACAAAATGAAATAGGAAGTTCTGTACTCGGAGATAGACTTCATCACAAATTGACAATAGTCAAATTATCAATGAGACAATGCCTATGTTTTTTTGACAGGATTTCGTACTTCTGAGAGATCAATACTCACAATACTATATTCACAGTACTTTTAACCCTTTTGATCCACCAATTTGAATTGTATTGATGTACATACTTGCAAATTCACTATGGAAATAGACAAGTTTTTCAGAGTACTGATCTATTTTATAATCCCGTTTGATGTAGAGTGCTTTAACTTTATTCACCAAGTACTATTTTCAAAATAAAATCCATGATATTTATGTATCATCACAACCATGTTACAATTTAATCATTGTGTTATGGTTTAAAGGATCGATAACTGAAACTTGAATGGAATTCTTTATCTTTAGTTTTGGATCGACTGGTTTATACCAACTTGCGTCACTTATTGTGTAGCCGAGATATCCGTCTACTAACCAAAGGATGAGTTCATTGTTCAGCAATTCATTCCGCTCTACTTGTTCAAAACATGATCATTAAGTATAGAAGATATTCGGAGGTTACTGGTGCTCGGTCATTGATTTAAATGAAGCATTGCTCGTATATTTTGAGACCACCGAATAGGCAACATCTGGGTTAAGAATGGCAAAGGATGACAAACCAACTGATGAATTAGTAAATCTTCATCAAATGAGATGGTTGAGACATGTGTTACGTGTTCACAACCACTGTCTAACTCGACGGGCAGTGTTTTCTAGTGTAACAATGGTCTGGATTATATCTAGCAGTGCCCAGACAAAAGCATGGTACTAGTGTATGAAGTCATTAACAAGTAAACTGAGTTATGTTAAAAGGTATAGGCTACCTGGTTGTGGTCTGTCTGATTATAGTAACTAATGGTTACACACTAGGAATGAAATCGCTCACAATCGTTTGCAGTAACACTGGCGCATCCATTCTTTGCATTTTCCCGGGTTCTAAGCCTCTGAATTCCCGAATCGTATCCCCGATCCCTAGTCTTTCCCGTTATCACTAATACTGTTACTATTTCTGATACTCTGAGATTTAAAATAACAACTTCACCTCGCTATACTAACGGAGTAAAGTAACCCGAACTGATGTACGGACGTTATTTTATATTATTATTTAGACACATAAACATTGGTACAAGAAGGCACCAAGTAGATATGCGTCACATAAATCATTCGATTTGTATGAGGTCTGGGATACAGTCCGGGCGCCAAAATCAAAACGAGTGGTCTTCTTAGGAGGCCACACTCGGAGCCTTCGATCTAAACATCTGATTCACAAGGCAGTGGAACGACGTTAAGAGACGCAGTAACACGGTAGCCGGTCACCAACAATAGGTTCATACGTCTTTCGTCTCTCAGGATCCTGGAGCTCATGTTAACTTTTGGTTTGGAATCAGGGTTTTCCAACTCTCCTAAGTGGGTTCTCTATATCTACCGACCGGGTTAAATTACTGGACATTAGATTTTCATCATCTCAATTTCGTAAACAACAGTAATGCCACGAGAAGTTGGTGATTAGGACTTCCCTATCAGTGGTTGTATTTAAGTGGCCATGTGAGAGTATTTCGAGAGGATGAGCTGAATCTCCTCACTCTCAGCCGTACCAGGGCATTTGGGGATCTGTACTTACGTACAAAGTTTCAAATCGTGACCGACTGACTAATTGACTTATTCAGTATGTAATCACAATTGATTAATCACTGGGTGGTGATCAATGTCATGTGTGTCATATCCTTCTTAATGCAGATCGAATGTTATCGCTCATATTGCAATGTTGCCACCGGTCTAGGTGACTCGACACTGCGGGCACTATATATTGAGATTAGATGGTGGTTGGAGGTAGTCAACAGGAAATCCTGGACCCGGGTTTCGTGCTACTTGGCACTCGTCAGTAAGGTGTATCTGTGAATACATGTCAGTCCTACAGGAGGTCAATCGCGGCCTGAATAGCTCAGTGATAATATCTCTGACTGTGAAGCTGAGTGAAACGGGATTGAATCGGTTATAGAGCATCAGTTCCTCCAAGATTACAGGTAGGCCTTGCTGACGAATGCCAAATAGTATGAAACCCGGGTCTAAGATTTCCTGTTCAGTATATACATATTTATAACTAGATTATCGTTTCACCGAGACTCATAATTCATTTATTGAATTTATATTTTGTTTCTTCATAGGGATTCTTTTCAAATGATCAACGTTATGGTCCTGGTATATTCATAACAATTACATCAACTACATATGAATTAAATATTGGTTATTGGAAAAATGATCGTTTAATTCGTTTAAAAAAATCTGCATTAAATAATCAAGCATTTCATTTTATAAAACAATTTCCACAATATAATTTTTATAAATTAGTTAATTTAGAATTAATGTTTCAAAATAATCAATATCAAAAATCAATAAAACAAGATCAATATAATTTATTGATTAATGAACAAATTTATCATTATGATCAATATAATTTAAATGAATCATTATCATTATTATTATTGAATAATTCTTCGATTAATTCAACAGAATTATTAATTCAAATTATACAAAATGTAAGTGTTTTAAGAAAAGGGGTGGAGTAGGGTGGGGTAGGGGTTTTTGTGGAGATTGTAGTAATTTTTAATAATTGTGATCATGAATCGATTGATATTAGATCATCAGGAAAAGCTTAAGAGCACTGGATGACCGTTTCGTCCTAGTATGGGATTAAACAGCAATGCGCGTCTACGATTCTGCTCATGGGATTTGAACTCGGAACCTATCCATCTCGCGTGCGATCTTTTAATCTATAGCTCACTGAACCGGAGTTCAATGGTGTGAATGGCTAATTTCCACTAATCTACGAAAATTCTGGGTTTGAATCTCTCTAACTGGATCGTGGATGCTCACTGCCAAGGTGATATATTAGGATGAAATGGCCATCCAGTGCTTCCAGGTTATTCATCGTAGTCTAGCTTCAATTGACGCATATTCATTTGTTTTCTTAATGAACTGAAATACCCACTGATATCTAATTTCAAAAGAGAAGTCAACGTAACTAGTAGACATTAGTATAGTACTACAAACTATTTAACATTATGCAGTGCCTTTGTTGAGAAATATATTAAGAATTGGAGATAAACAAGTACTTATACAATTAATGACCTGGAAGTTAGTGGTTCATATTTTACAGCTTCACATGTTCATTGATACATCATGATCGTTATTCAATATTACAGGTAGAAAATCATCTGTTTACATTGTAAATTGGGCAAAAAGATTTAGATAAATCTAAGTAATTTTGATAAGGTAAGTAAGAACATACTAAATGAAACAGAAGGAAACCAGAACTAATCAATATGTAATAATCAGAAGCCATGATGTAATTTAGACTATTGGATAACCACAGATACCATAACGTGACTGACTTTAAATTGTTTTTTTCTAGTTTTTCACCACAGGTTACGATTATCCTACGGAGCACAATCTCATGGCTTGATAAATACCTGTCTCTATCCTTCATATTAATATACTTTTATTCTATTCACCAGTATAAATTAGAGTAGAAGGTGACTGAACACATATAACAAATGTATATACTATCTCTGTCGACGAACGTTATATTATCAGTTATTTGATCACGTGTTTGTACTATTCTATGCTTAATATCACTGTTGTTGAATCAGCGCTCCCATTGTATTCTGGTGATTCATTACCGAAACTACTATTAGATTCTTGTAACCGATGCATCTCCCAAAAATTCAGAGTGATGACGAGAGGGTAATTGTGTAGAATACTCGCTTCTTGAAAGGCAAACTACTATGTCACCTGTGATACTGGCGATATGAGTCAAGGTAAATGCTTTCATCTGTTACAAGATAGCGTCATTAATTAGCTCACCAGTAATGATGAAACTCCCAATAGTAAATAACGCCTAGTTTTGAATACACAACTGGAAGAATATAGTCTAATAATTAGAGTTTCGGTGTACGCTTGAATGCATTGTTTTTGTTGAACTCTACTTAATGAATAGTTTGCAAACTTTTAATCGGAATTTATTTAACCATTTCAGTATACCTTCAAGTTAATTCATTATTATTAGTTGGATAATTTTGCTAACTGCTAACAATTTTGTCAATATCAGTATGAAGTTGTGGAGATTATCAAGTTTTTGATTGAGATCATGAACCAGTTGATGTTAGACCACCAATGAAAACCTGGAAGCACTGAACAGCCATTTAGTCCTATTGTGGAAGATCATGATCTCAATCAAAAACTTCATAATCTCCACAACCCTATACTGATAATTACCATGTGCTCACCAGTGACTAGCTTTGTGAGGGAATTCTCGAAGTTCTAGTGAGAAGCCGTGACCAGTGGAGCTAATCCGTGTCGGGTAGAGACAAGTATCCATCTCAGTACAATAGATGGTCACGCAATTTCGTGAATTGGTTGGAGTTAGACATCAGCACCGCTGGATACCAGTTCAGTGGTCTAGAAGTCAAGCATTTGCGCACGGGACCAAAATTCCTTGGTTCAAATCCCTCCAACGGGATCATGGATACGCACTGCCGAGGAGTCCCACAATGGGACAAAACACTTATCCAGTGCCTCTACGCTTTCAATGGTAGTCTAACATCAGTCGATTCATGATCTCAATCAGAAAATCTTGTTAATAGTTTTTAATATTCTCGAAATTTATATTTTGCTCTGATTTTTTTCTAAATATTATAGATATTAAAACAAAGTAATTTACCTAAATCATTTCAAGTATGGAATATAAAGAGTCCATTATTTGAAAAATTTATTGCAGATCAAAGTTTTAAACATTTACTTCATTGTATACCAACACCTATAGAATCATCACTTTTAAACTTGAACAATTTACAAAAGATATCAGAAACCATAGGATCTATTCAAAATGATTATTCAAAAATGTTCAATTTAAAACGAGATGAATCTAAACAACAACAACAACAACAACAACAATCGAAAACTTATTCTAAACAAGATTCTCTATTTGAGTAAGTGGATTCTCAATTATAATACTTATCATTTTGTTGAAATATCGACATATATAGAGCTACAATCAGTATATATGATGTCATAGGCATAATTCTGTTGTACTCTTATTCTCACTATATCCTTAACATTTTAATAGCATACACATGAAAGTACTGTTCGCCTGGAAGAAAGTTTTTCCATTTTATGGTGATCTAGGATCATTCTAATTTCTTTAAACTTTCCTTTAAAGTATGGGAAAAAAAGACATCTGTGATTAGTTATATAAAACAATAGAGAACCATAACAATTTGTACGATACATCTAGAATCACTGAACAAATGATTTTTCACTTAACTTGATTAAGTAAACAATTATTCAAAGATGGATAGTGACTGGCAGTGAAATCTACTTTGACGTGAGTTTCATCCTATTTGGGATTTGTCAGCTGGATGTACATGCATCTCAGAGTCGATGTTCACTCTGAAACTTGAACCCAGTACCGTTCGCTTCAAACGCCATCGCTTTATCCACTAAGCTACTGAGTCCCATTAGCCACCTGCTTGTGCAATAGGATGAAGTTTTAAATTCAACTGGTGTTGTCTACCTGTATCTTCCCGTTGTCATTTAGGACCGCAATGGATTATGAGTTTCTTGTTAGTACATGTACTTTCTGTGCGGCCTGCCTCGATATTGCTTTCATTCACAAGCATTCGAAACAACGATGGATAATGGCTAGCTATGAAATCCACGATGCGCATTTCATCCGACTTTGGACTCGTCAGCTGGATGTACCTGCATCTCAAACTTGTTGATATCCACTCTGGAACTCGAACCCAACACATATACCAATATGAGACTGATCAATTACAGTTCTAAATAATAATGATAAGATACAAGTAAAAGAACATTGAATAAATGTAAACATTTCTTTATTCAATTATATAAACCTTATTTAACTTCTCTTTTATTTTTCTATTTGATCAGTTCACAATTTAAACAAAATCAAACAGTTTGTTTAGTTGATATGAGATCATATATAACACAAATTGCTTATTTACAAAATTTTCTACGTAAATCATGTAAAACTATTGATTGGTACAAATTATCAATGCATCATATAATTCATGATGTTACTAATAAAGAACATAATCATGACCTTGAAGAGGATGAACATGGATGTCGTGGATGAACATGGATGTCGTGACCTTGAAAATAATTTAAATAAACAATTGTTTATTAATGAATGGTCAATGATATGGAATAAATTATCAAAAAAAAATTTGAAAAAATCTAATAAACAAACAATAATACATAATATGAATACAAAATATCAATTAACCGGTAAATATGAAACATTATCAATACAATTTATTCAATATTGTTTTAATGGATTATTTGATGAAGTTAGGAATTTATTACAAATTGAAAACCAAACAAATATGAATCAATATTGTATTGATCCAAATGTTACTGATAATTATGGACAATTTGGTTTATTAGGTGCTGTGGTAAGTTATAAGAATAATTAGTAGTCAGTTTTGCATTACAGATTGATATAATTTCAATAGTTGAGATTATGAGTCAATTGAAGCTAGACTAACATCATGGAAAACCTAGAAGCATTGGATGGCTGTTTCGTCTTATTGTGCGATTCATCAGTAGTGCACATTCACGACCTTGAATGTGTATGTATTATGTGTTTAAGATCGAATACATAAAAGTCCAGGTGTCGAATTCCTCTCACATTGCCACATGTATACAACCGCTACCAGGGAAGTACTACTCACTGCCATCTCGTGGCGGGGGTGTTGTTTTACGAAGTTGAGATGATGAAAAGCGAATGTCTGGCACTTAAACCGGGTTGGTGGATATGGAGGATCCACCTACGAGAGTTGAGAAACCCTAATTCCAAACCAATAGTGCATATGGGCTCCAGTATCCTGAGAGAACAAATGGCGTATGAATGAATTATTAGTCACCGGCTACGATGAGGTTGCATCTCCTTACGTTTCTCCACTGCCTCATGGATCAAACCTTTAGATCGAATGCTCCGAGTGTAGTCCCCTAAGAAAACTAACTGTTTCGGTTTGGGTACGCGGTCAGTAACAGAGCTCATACACTAATCAAGTGACTTGCGTGGTGCATATGTATTTGCTGCCCCTTTGTACTGATATTAATGTGTTCAAATAAATAAATCAAACATAAGATTATTATCTCATCGGAAGAGGATTACCGAAAGAACAAAAAAAAGAATGTAATTAGCATCTTACAATTTGATAAATTTCCTATGAAGATTATCAGAAATGTATTAAAACAAGTTGTTTCACTACGTAATAACAATAATTCAAATGAAATACCATGAATTGGTACTGCAGTTTTATTATATCGTCATGGCACAACAGAATCTTAAAACAACACAGAATTAAAGTATATTACAAAACGACGAACACACTTCCATATACTTTAGTTCGCTTACAAGAAAAAATCCCATTCATGTAAGCATCTACAAATTAGGTTGTATCAATTGTGATGCCTTCTATGTTGGAAGATCACCTTCGGAAATCTTGACTCAAACCAAAGAACGTATTAGGTACACAAAGAAACCACTTATCAATCCTGTAGAATTGGATAGACTTGTAGTGACTCACATTTATCACGAGAACACGACTGGTTTAATAAAAAACGCTTATTATTATAACCAAGTGTACCAGTGACTGTTTTAATGTGCTTTTGTTTGACTGTGCTAATGACAGCTATTTTGTGCTTCCATTCTTATACTTACACTTTGATTGTAACTTCGCGCGAATTCGGTTACGTTCTGTAACCAAGGTTGTATCCTGGCACGATCTCGGTATCCTTTCGATGCCACGAGATCGCCAGCTAATAAACCTCGACTTGGTCCATTAACTGTCTTCTGATATTTGGCTTCTCGGGGATTTTACGGATCTATTTGGTTACGTTCAACCCTCGCCTTCTGATTTATTTGGCACGTGTTTCTTGGTAGCGGTGTTCATAGTTAACCTCAACACGACGCCACGCTATAGACTTGAAATTAAATAGGCAATAGCAATTCACTTCTTTTTCAACGACCCCCAAATCGATTTCAAAAATATCTAAATATTATAAAAATATTTTTACAATTACAAAGAAAGAAGAGTAGCTGAAGCGTTCCATATAATACTTAATCCTACAGCTCTCAATAGAAAAGAAGCCCTTACTATACATCCTACTTGAACTATCTGCCTAGTTTGACATTATTCACATTTCAAAAAATTATCTTACATACAAATTAAACTCTATCCTTTCTCACCATAAAGATCATACACACACATATACACAAATTACATACATGTCATTTATGAATCACCTTAACCGAAATGACATAACATTGACTTGAGATTAGATGGTGGTTGGAGGTAGTCAACAGTAAATCCTGGACCCAGGTTTCGTGCTACTTGGCACTAGTCAGCAAGGTGTACCTGTAATCTTGGGGGAACTGGTGCTCCATGTGCAACATGATCGATAGCATTCGATCTGCACTAATAAGGACTAGACAAGCATGAGATTGATCACCACCCAGTGATCAATCAATTGTGATAACATTGACTTGTTCAGATCTGTTTTTGATTGATCGCGCCTAATATTCTTGTTGTGTTCCTTTGAACGATTTAAACTTGGATTCATTTCGATTTTGGTTATCTATTTATTCTCTGAAGAAGTGGCTTACACTGAGTCACGAAACACTAGAAGATCTAATTTTTCTGCTCATTGGAATATTTACAAACATAATGTTTGGTTATTTATATCATCAGTATAGGGATTGTGATTGAGATTATGAACAAATTAATGTTAGACAACCGTTGGAAACCTGGAAGCACTGGACGGCCGTTTCATCCTATGCGCATTACTGAGGAGTCCCAAAATAGGACGAAACAGCCGTTCAGTGCTTCCAGGTTTCCAACGGTTGTCTATTATCAATCGGTTCATGATCTTAATCAAGAAAAACTATTTATTTATACTACTGATTAGTATTACTTTATTTTCTTTCTATTTCATGCATTTTTTTTAAATTAATTTAGTTAACATGGAATATGAAATTAGTGAATCTCTTATTGGATTTTGGTGCAAATATTAATCAATTAACTGATGATGGTTTAACAGTTTTTACAATCTGTTTATTAAAATATTATGAATTATTTAAAGAAATTATAAATTTAAAAAATGATCGAAATGATCAATTTAGTGAAGGAGATCAAGGATCATTAGATCAAAATGGAAATAATCAATCGGAACAAGAACATTATCAACAACAACAACAACAACAACAGAGACAATACGAACCAGATCATATATTGCCAATCATTACGAAAAGAATAAAGATGAATGATAAAATGATTGATTCAACAAATGATAATGAAGATTATAATGAGAAGAAAGAATCAGATTTAAATAAATCACCATCATCTTTACATTTTGGCAGGAATTATATTTATCGTGTTGAATTACCTGTATTATTATCGACAACATCTTCAGAGAGTATGGTCACGTTACGGCGTAATGCTAGACTGTCACAAATACGTAGAATGCATTTAAATAAAATTAAAGAACGTAAGTGTTCAAATTTTGATAGTGAGTAATGGGATAGGCTTGAATTATACAGGGAATATCAGTTTATTCAAGATTTCAGACATCTATGTCAACTAAAGTCTCAAGTACCATAAATTCTACATTCTTAGTTTTTTTCCCTTATTTGGCTCCTACCAATGAACACCAACAAAATTTACTGTAATATCAAGTTTCTTAGATGAAGTACCCAAATTACGATTTCATCGAGAAAATTACAATGTGGTGTGCACTACTGATGTCGATAGGTATAAGTAGTAGCTATCATCAACTGAAAGTGAAATGCTTGGAGGCAGAAGGTTAAGAAAATCAAAGAAAAAAACGGATACAAAGAATGATTGTTGTAGAAATGAAGGAACAATGAAGTCTGGGACGATTGATTGACATTTTGCAAATGAAGTATTTACCGTATGATTCTCAGATTTTACTAAGATGTTCTGTAATTTTGTGTTCAAATACATTCGATTGTCCTCACCTCCTCACTACATTTGGTGTTGCTCCCAATCAGGCGGGGGATATGTGCTGTTCTGAGGACAGCGTTTCGGACCTGGAGCTGATGTGTTAATTGGGGCGGTCGGGTGCGGGGAGGTGACGTCGAGTAAAGTATTCTGGCAAGGCGGCGTTATCTGTAGGAAGTATCGTCGACGGAGAGGAGCGGTAGGATATGCGGCTACTGGGCGTACAATGAGTTTTGGTGGCCCGATGGAACTATGAAGGTCAACGCGTCATGGAGTCGACATTTCGACGGAGAGAGTGTCACACTCTGCAAAAAGTAAAAATTGGCATGACGAGCAGAATGACTGCCTTAAGAAAGGGGGGAAGGTAGTGGGTGCTCCTGATGTCGATAGATATAAGTAGTGTGTATCGTCAATCGATTGTGTATATTATACCTTGTTCATTAATGCTTTAACATAATAAAACATATTTTCCATTATTTATCTGTTATATCATTGCATTTTATTGTAGGTCGTTCACTTATTGCAAAATCAAATGAAATAAGAAGATCTACACAACAATCACCTGAAATAAAAAATGATTTGATTACTACAACTCAATCAGTTTTACCTACTTTTCAACGTTTTACAAATTGTTTAACTCGTTTTAACTCTATAAAAGAATTACGTAATGAAGATAATCCTATTAATTCACCATTGAAAGATAATAAAATGAGTCCAACTTCATCATCAAAATCTATGTAAGTTAATTATAAAGATTTTTGTTCTATTTAAGTATTTGGTGTTTGATCCATTGACTGGAAATAATTGAATAATATTGCAAATTAAAGAAAATTGACTAATGAATTAGGTACAACCAGCTAACGAGTCTCAAATAGGACGAAACGCGTATCCTAGGTTCCACTGCTAGCCATCATCCATTTTTGCTTATAAAGCTAATGAATTAATAATTCATTTATTCCAGATTTTGATTTGAACACATAGATATTGGTACACGAGGGCACCAGATACATATGCGCCACACAAATCTCATTTGATTTGTGTGTGCACTGTGATACTACCCGGATGCCCAAACCGAAGCAGGTGGTTTTATTAGGAGGCCACACTCGGAGCCTTCGATCTAAACATCTGATCCATGAGTCAGTGAAACGACGTAAGGAGACGTACTAACATGGTAGCCGGTCACCAACAATAGGCTCATACGCCTATTGTCTCTCAGGATCATGGAGCTCATGTGAACTTTTGGTTTGTAATCAAGGTTTTACAAATCCCCTAGATGGGTTCTCTATATCCACCAACCGAGCTGAAGTACTGGACATTCGCTTTTCATCATCTCAATTTCGTAAAGAACAGTAATGCCACGAGAATGTAGTGCTTAGGACTTCCCTATCAATGGTTGTATGCACGTGGCCATGTAAGAGTATTTCGAGAGGGAGAGCTGACTCTCCTCACTCTCAGCCGTACCAGAGCATTTGGGGGGCAATATTTTGATGCTGTTAAGTAATTTGATTAATTCCAATGGATAATTTTTTTATGATTTGACCAATCAGAGTAAACTATTCAGTGATTTATCTAATCCACCATCATAATTACACCACAAAACACACATTTATAATCTAACTGAAGTTGAATTATATGTATTAAAAGTCATAGAATTATAAGACGCTAAGCGTTCGCGCACGAGACCGATAGGTCCTGGGTTCGAATTCCGCAAGTCGGGGTCATGAATGTTCACTGCTCAGGAGTTCCATACTAGTATGAAACGGCCGTCCAATGCTTTCAGATTTCCCAGGGTGGTTTAGCTTCAATTAGCTCATGAACTCAACTATTGAATCAATTTTAAAGTTGGTTAAACCGGTACATTAAGAGTTGCAATTTTTCACATATGTCTCTTATCATTTGAAATTACTGATATGTCTAAATTATTAATTATTTTTGTATTGAGAAGTTACATAGAATCTTATGTAATTCAATTTATTCGTTATCACAATAAAGGTATGCTGAGAATCGTAAGAATAGACCCAAAACTATCTCGATAGACCAAAGAAATAAAAAGGTGATGTTTAAAAATAGTTTTCTTTTTCCTATTTATTTTTACGTTTATTGACTATGCTATAGGCTATTCATACAGAGACTTTGTAGCATTCATGTGGATTAGCTTCTCGCGTTGAATTCAACGTCGATTCGCCCACTTCATGGGATTCTGTAATCTTAGAGTTCACTTTATGTCAGTAATATAAATGACGTTATTTTCATCTGTTTGTTCACATTGAATGTCACAAGGTAATTTGACATATAGAAATTCATTCTGTTCTTCATCTGCACAATCAAACTACGAGAAATACCCTAACGATTGAGTCAATAATCGAATTGATGTTCGTTCAGACAATCTCATCAATGATCATCAACAAACATCGTATATCCTAATCATAATTGATCCATATGGATACTTCTATTCCAAATGATCAATCATAACATGAGAAAAGTCTACCAGTTTATCTCTTATTACTATTGACTTAAAATCCAATGTAGTATTCATTTATCATAAGACTACCACACAAACACACACCATACATAAATGAGAAATCACAATCTGTAAATAGTCAGATCATTTGTCGTACAAAATTGAGTAATATGTACACAATCAATCAGTGTTATTTTGTGAATGATGAACACATTTCAGTAGGTTATAGAATTGACTAAAGCTTCAAATCACGGCATTCCTAAACTGATGTATATCAAACATTTATTGAATATTCAGGGAAAATATAGATATTAATTCACCATAGGGAGGTCCTCTGACTCACCAGGGTGATTGGTACCTGCATGGTTGAGCCACAGGATTGAGCTATATTATTCCGATTGTAATGTTAAAGCATATACGGTGTCTGGTTTTCCTGTGAAGTGAGATTGAGCTGTACTATTTGGGTTGTCACGTGAAAATCCTCATGGTGTCTGGTTCTCCTGAAAACCAATGTAAATTTTCCCTTGCCCATAATGGTATATTACTTAACTATAACTGTGAATTGAGTAGTTCTCACAATTTACCCATTTCTACTCATTTATCGATATCTCATGCTTTGATTTTTTTGTTTTTACGATGAGTACTTTTCAATGTCTTCATCCAAAACGCTTGGAGATTGGAGTTTGTTCTCAGTTTTTCGTATTCTCTTTTTTAACTCTTTGGCTCACTGGAAACTAACAATTTCATCCTATATGAAACCTAATAATTTCTTGTTTCCAAGATTTCGAATTGTTATTTCCTGTTTGCACGTCGTAATAGGCATAAATCTTGTAAAAGTGAAGTTGTTATTGATATATATATATGTATATAAGGTAGATAGCTTAAGTAGACAGAATAAGTGTAAAGCCACTTATGTTTTAGAATGAAAAATGCCATACCTTTATCATGGTAAGTACGTTAATTGTTTACTCACTACAGTACAGCTCGCTGCATCACAATATTTTTTTACAGTATTAAATAGCTACCATAATCACTGTTTAAGTTTGCAATGTGTTTAATTTTTAGAAAATTACCGAAATTCATGAACAGGAAACATATGTGGTATACGGCTCTATAATACTTTAGTATTATTCTGAGGTGTATGTTTGATTTTTTCTTTCCAGGTTTTCCATAGTGGTCTAGCTTCAATTGACTCATGATCTCAACTGTTTAAATTACTATAGTCTCCACAAAACCCCTTCTGATACTAATCAACATTTGCTCACTAGTGACTGGCTTCAAGATATATATCCTGGAGTTCTAGTGAGAAGCAGTGACCAGTGAAGTCCTACCGGGTCAGTTGTGAGGTAGTAACTCACTGACGACAATGGTGGATGTGTCGCTCAATTTCGTGGATTAGTTGAAGTTAGACATTAACACCATTGGATGCCGATCAGCTCAGTGGTCTAGTTGGTTAAGCGCCTGGGGCGAGACTGATAGGTCCTGATTTCAAAACCCCACTAGGCGGGGTCGTGGGTGCGCACTGCTGAGGACTCCCACAATAGGACGAAACGGGTGTCCAGTGCTTTCAGGTTTTCCATGATGGTCTAGCTTCGATTGACTCATGATCTCAACTATTTGATTTTTCTTTTCTTGCTACATAAAAGTCGATGTATTGTGCATACAATACAATTGTTTGGTAAAGAATTTAGTCGATCTAAGCCAGACCACAGTTGGAAACCTGGAAGCACTGAACGGACGCTCGGTCGAAGTACGGGGCTCTTCAGCAGTGCACGTACACGATTCCGCACATGGAACTCGAACCCAGGACCTTTGATCTCTCGCGTGAATGCTTAACCTCTAGACCATTGAGCTGGAATCCAATGGTGTTAATGTTCAACTTCAATCGATCCTTGATCCATGATTGACGCGACTGTTAATATAGTGCGAACCTATACTGTTTCGTGTCACCAAGACTTGTATTCAACGACTTGAACGTTATCTAAACAATATATTGAATTCTTTGCTTTTACGTATCCATGTCTAAAATGAGCCATTTATTGAATAGTCGATCATATAGATAACGAAATAAAGGATTATAAGATGGATAGTGGCTAGCAGTGAAATCCAGTTACACGCGCGTCCCGTCCTATTTGGCAGTAGTCATCTGGATATACCTGCATCTCAGAGTTGATGTTCACTCTGAGATGCGAACCGAGTACCGTTTGCTTCAAACACCATCGCGTTATCCACTTAGTTACTGAGTCCTGATAGCTACTAACTTGTGCAATGAAGTGATCCACATAGGATGCACATATGTCAATAACAGACTGATCTATTGCAGGCCTAAACATCAATCGGAAGATTCAAACAAACAATACTGAATGCATTTAAAATGAAGAATTATTTGATTAGATGATTGAATTAGTCATTAGTTTAAACCCCCATAATTAGGTACAAATATTATTTAGTCGCGATATAACGGTAAGCATAATGCCATGTTATGTGCTCCAAGTATTTACCTAAAATGTGTTTTTGGCTTTTAAAATTTTTATAACACCTATATCTAATCAGTCAGTAACAGCGTAGAACTTCGGACGTACGTACATCAGTTCAAGTTGCCATACCATGTTAGCATGGAGATGTAGTTGTCGATTCAAATACCATAGTCGTAGAGATAGTAAAAGTATAAGCAGTAATCGGAAAGATTAGGGTTTGAAGATGTTATTCAAGGAGTATAATCCAGTGAAATAAATTTGGAAAGAGAAAATAAAGGGACATGAAGAATTCAGAAGATTAGAATTTGGGCATTGGACTCTGTTGATCATGAGGTTCTATAGCCGTGTTTGTCACTGAAAGAAGTATCAAAGAAGAACATTAGCCTCATAAAGGCTCTCTACTCGAACGCAACTGGTAGAGTAAGAGCGAACTGTCATCAGAATTGATTACCCCGAGTGGTGTTCGTCAGGGCTGTCCACTCTCTCCATTCCTGTTTGATTTTATCGTTGACGTTCTTTTATAGATAACACTTTCCTAATCTAAATTTCCAAGGGATGAACTTCTACCGGGAGATTCACTTGTTGACTTAGAATATGCTGATGACATAGTTCTATTTGGTGAAGACGATGACAAAATGCAGAGTCTTCTGACCACTATGAGCAACAATGCAAACATGTTCGGGATTTGGTTCTCCCTCTCGAAATGCAAAATGTTACTTACGGATTGAGTTGCATCGACACCCGAACTAATGATAGAGAGTGAAGTAGTTGAGCATGTCGACCGCTTCACTAATCTTGGGAGTTTCATTAGTCCTTGTGGTCTGGTGTGTGACGAAACCTCATCACCTATACAGAAGTCTCGACTAACTTTTGCCAACTTGCGTCATTTACGGCTTAGGCGAGATATCCGTCTACCAACCAAAGGACGAGTTTACTGTGCAGCAGTTCGTTCCATCCTACTTTATGACAGTAAAACTTGGCCGGTAAGAGTAGATGATATTCGTAAGTTACTAGTATTCGATCATAGGTATCTTCGCAGCATTGCTCGTATATCCTGAGACCACCGAGTAAGTAACGCAGTTGTTAGGAAACGGGTACTAGGTAAGTATGGCAAATCAATTGATGAAGTAATGAAACTACACCTAATAGATTATTGTTATCACCTCACTTTCTATCGAAGAACAATTGGCAAAGGATAAATTGGGCTCTAACGTGTGAATTCGGTATGAATCCTATCAAATTTTGTTATATGCTATCTATTGTAACAATAACTAACAGTTTTCTACAGCTTTGTTTATAGGTCTTATTTTCTATCTTCCTCTATAGGCAATGATTGATATCATTTCTAATAAAGCTGCATTCAATCAACCTTATAGAATAAAATCACCATTATTAAGAGAAGTAGCTGCTCAAGAATTATCAAGAAATCCTTATTTCTTAGCATCACATTCAATGAATAGTTCAATGATGAATCAAGTATTAAATGAAAATAATAATAAAACACCAGATATGGAACAAGTTAATGAAACACCAGTTAGTAGAAATTCATTAGATCGACAAGCTTTACTTTTAGCAAAGTGAGTTTATTTTACAGTATGATAGTCAAAGACATATATGACTGAACTCTTTGAATTATAAATAAATTGCTTTGGAATAGGATCTGTTTGATTGATCGATTGATAATTCACCACAATCCATCAGTCCTATAAAACATATGATGAAATGACTATTTTTAGGTAATCTTCTAAGGATGTATATATTACCAACAAAGATTGATCAAAATGTGATCCCGATTATCAGACTTAATAATAATGATATAAAAATCAGACCAGTTGACACAATTCAGTATCTTCCTCGACTTTATAGTGTAACCGATAAACAGTTTATGTTTAAAGCAATAGGCACTGATTTTATGTCTCATTTTGAACATTAGTACTAGTATGTTAATGAGTCCATCTGACGTAATTCCCGCCTTGACAAAATTCAATTAAATAAAGCATTAATCTAACATTGTCTAATCTTTTATGTTTATAGAATTCTACAAATCCTATTCCTACTTTTAGCATAATTTTATCATTTTTAAGATATCGTAACAATAACATTTCTAAGACATTTATATGTTCAGTATTATACCGTTCGATATGTTTCATTTATATTTTGTCAACGTTTTATTGTCGAAATAAGGAAAGTCTTGCACCCAAATGCCTTGGTACAGCCAAGAGTGGGAAGAGTTCGCTCTCCCTCTCGAAATGCTCTCATGTGGTAATGTGTATACAATTACTGTCAGGGAAGTCCTACTCACTGCCTTCTCGAGACATTACTGTTGTTTACGAAATTAAGGGAACGAAAAGCGAATGTTTGGTACTTTAACCGGGTTGGTGGACACGGAGAGTCCACTTAGGGGGGTTGGAAAACCCTGATTTAAAACCAATACTACACATGGGCTCCAGTAACCTGAGAGAACAAATGGCGTATGAATGGACTATTAGTCACTGGCTACGATATGATCACATCTCCTAACGTTGCTCTACTGCCTTGTGAATCAGATCTTTAGGTCGAAGGCTCCGAGTGTGATGCCCTAATAAAACCACCTACTTCGGTTTGGACACCCAGACAGTATTCCAGACCACTTACAAATCAACTGACCTGTGTGGTGCATATGTATTCGCTGCCCCTTTGTACCAATATTAATGTGTACAAATAAATAATGTCACACTAATGTTGAGAATGAACTTACCTAGTATACGTAAACACAACACGTATTATTTAATTTATTCAAAGGAAATATGAATTGTGATTACGTTAATTATCATATTCAATCGAAATGCAAATAAAGGTACTGATTAAATATAATGTAGTTGCTAAGTAAGCGATGTATAATGTTTCTCTTTACATAGACTATTTATTCGTTGTTATAATGTATGCAAAACTAATCTACAATCCTTGTTAGATAATTTTGTTTGGAGAATTTTGTTAATTTGGTTCGAATTCATTCACTATGATGTAGATTCATCAACTTTTTACTTTCTATTACATTATGGGTTTGAGAAGTATTTTGTGCCTTTTTGATGTATGAGTGAGGATAATAATGACTGATTATTTGCTTAGTCAGACTAGTAGATAGTCTGGCAGGTATTAGTTAAGTTATATATTCTCTTACCCTTATTATTACTGTGATTGTTATCGGGTTTATAGAGTGGCTAGTCACGTATTCGTGATCTGAGTTGTGTTGAAATCTTGTAGAATAGACACTGGAAGGGTGTATAGTGTAGATAAATTAACGTCCCATACGTGTAGACGGGGATAACCGAGCGTAATAACATCTTTTTATTCCATAAATTCATTCTTCCATCACAAATCGTATTGTCTATGCTTAACCTTATCTTTTCTATGTTAGACTGTTACTACTTTTACTACTGTATACTTACATAGCATGGTAGCTTGAACAGAAACACGCGTATACCACATTCTACATCGCTTATAACTAACTGATAGTTAATAAACTTGGTTTAAAAAAACAATTACACAGAATCCATTCACTTGTGTAAGTACTGACGTCACCTTATTCACAGATAGATCTCTATCAATCAAGATATGTAATACGATCACATGCTTTAATGACTCGATAATATTTCTGTACTGTGTCTTCATATCATGTGGATACAAGTAGTGGAATGTTCGGAACTATAGTTTTTGATTGTTCAATCGAAAATCATTGCTATCTAATCCTTTCAAATAAGCAACTCAAATTACCATGGAGATAATTTGCAGAATACGATGAATCCACTGAACCATGTTTCTTTCTCTTCAACTAAATATAAACATAATAGGTATAATGTAATAAGTCTAGTTATTTTGTATGTTACAATCCTTTAATAAGAGATAGTACAATAACCATTATGGTTATTTTATCCGTCAATAAGATATAAAATCATCAAGATTCATCTTAAGCCATCAAAAAGACTACATAATTAAATTCACTTGGTGTTGTTTACTTGTAACTTTCCATTGTTATTTAGGACTGTAATTGATCCGTCTCTTATTGGCATATGTCCATCCTATGTGGACTGCCTCGATATTGCCTTATGTCACAAGCTTTATAAGCAAAGATGGATAGTGGCTAGCAGTGGAATCCACTGACATGCAAGTACATCCAGCTGACGAGTCCCAAATAGAACGAAACGCGCATAAAATCGGATTCCACTGCTAACCACTATCCATCTTTGCTTATAAAAAAAACTACATAATTAGTTCTCTTTTTTTTCTTAATTTAGACAAAAACAAATGTTAGATGTAATAGATCTATTATTAAAACGTGGAGCAAATCCAAACACTGGTATACGACCATTACCAGCATTATTTCTAGCTGTACAAGCTGGTGATCCTGATATGGTTCGTAAATTAATTCAACATGGTGCAGATGCAAATATATGTTTACGTGTAGATGTAAGAGTTGATTGCCTTTTTTTCATTATACAGTGGTTTCGTGAAGTTTCATAATTAAAAGTTATGTTAAATGTCTATGTAAACTATAAAATTCACGAATCTCCATATACAATTAATGATGATATCCTTATTATAGAACTCCGCCTGTAGCTCTTATAGGGTTGCTGCCGGTCCCACAAGATTCCAAAGAAAGGAGATCTGAGCAAATGTGAAAACTACAGAGGCATTACACTACTGTCAATACCAGGGAAAGTCTTCAACAGATTGTTGCTGAACCGGATGAAGGATGCAGTAGACGCCCAACTTCGAGATCAACAAGCTGGATTCCGTAAGGATCGGTCGTGCACAGACCAAATTGCAACACTACAGATCATCGTCGAACAATCAGTTGAGTGGAACTCGTCACTATACATCAACTTCATTGATTATGAAAAGGCATTCGACAGTGTAGATAGGAGGACATTATGGAAACTTCTTCGACACTACGGAGTTCCTCAGAAGATTGTCAATATTATCCGGAACTCATACGACGGACTACAGTGCAAAGTCGTGTACGAAGGACAGCTGACAGATGCATTTAAAGTAAGGACCGGAGTCAGACAAGGCTTTTACTCTCTCCCTTCCTCTTTCTTCTGGTGGTCGACTGGATTATGAAGACCTCAACATCTGAAGGAAAACACGGAATACAATGGACAGCTCAGAATCAATTAGACGATTTGGACTTCGCAGATGACCTAGCCCTCCTATCACGTACACACGAACAGATGCAGATGAAGACAGCCAGTGTAGCAGCAGTCTCTGCATCAGTAGGCCTCAGCATACACAAGGGAAAACTAAGGTCCTCAAATTCAAAGCGGAAAACAGCAATCCAATCACTCTTGATGGCGAAACTCTGGAAGATGTAGAGTCCTTCACATACCTGGGAAGCATCATTGATGAACAAGGAGGATCCGATGCAGACGTAAAGGCGAGGATCGGCAAAGCAAGGGTCGCATTCCTACAATTGAAGAACATATGGAACTCAAAACAACTTTCAACCAATATCAAAGTGAGAATCTTCAATACGAACGTCAAGGCAGTTCTACTGTATGGAGCTGAAACTTGGAGAACTACAACAACCACAATCAAGAAAGTACAAGTATTTATAAATAACTGTCTACGCAAGATACTCAACATCCATTGGCCGAATACCATCAGCAATAGCCTTCTGTGGGAGAGAACAAACCAACTTCCAGCTGAAGAAGAAATTAGGAAAAGACGATGGAAATGGATAGGACATACATTACGGAAATCGTCAAACTGCATCACGAGGCAAGCCCTAACTTGGAATCCTGAAGGGAAGCGAAAAAGAGGAAGGCCAAAGAACACATTGCGTCGGATAATGGAAGCAGATATGAAAGCGATGAATTACAACTGGAAGGAGCTGGAAAGGATTGCCCAGGACAGGGTTGGATGGAGAATGCTGATGAGCGGCCTATGCTCCTTCACGAGGAGTAACAGGCGTAAGTAAGTAAGTAAGTCCTTATTATAGACTAATTTCCAGAAATGATTCCAAGAATTCTAATGGGAAGTTGTAATCAGTAGAGTTTATTGATGCAGAAGGTGTGAGACAGTTATTCATCGCAATAGGGTTGAAGAATGCTTAAGTAATATTGTTGATTAATTGAAGGTATAAATATAAACCCACAGGATAACAGATTAAGCTTTTGTTACTTGAGCTTGAAGGTCCTTGATAAGTCCATGAATGCACACTGCTGTGAAGGTACGTACTATGGTAGAATCGTTATCCAGTTTTTAATGATCGTTCAACAAAGATCAGAAAGTAATACAAACTATAAAACTTAATCTTCATAAATCTCTTATACTAATAATGGATACTAGTTGGTAAACAAATGGAAACTAAGTGGTACTGGACAGTTGTTTTATTCTAGTTTAAGATTTTTGCCAGGAATTTGAAGCAGATATCAAAAGAATAAATAGTAACTTGAAAGGATTGCTCAGTACATAGTTCAATGGAGAGTGCTGGTGGGCGCCCTTTGCTCCTCCACGAGGGGTAACAGGTGTAATTAAGCAAACGAGCAATAAACATACAATTTAGTCTATAACTGAACTTAGAATATACATACATATATATATTATCCAGCCTCTGTAACCAATTTGATCGCTTTTGTACATAACCATATACAATTCGTGGTACTGTAGTGAACGAGAACACAAGTGGGAACAATCAAAAGTATTTGAACAGACAAATAACAGAACATCTTAGTAAAATCTGAGTACCATACAGTAAACAACTCAGTTGGAAAATATCAATCAATCGTCTTAGACTTCATCGTTCCTTCGTTTTCACAGCAATCATTCTCTGCTCTCGTTCACTTTTCTTTGATCTTCTTAACCGTCTACCTTCAAACATTGCATTTTCGATTGATGATACATACTACTTATATCTGTCGACATCAGTAGTACACACTACAGTATGATTAAAATAGATGAATACGATAGTACGAACGAATGTTTATGGATAAGAAACATGACTACTTCCTCCACAACACCTAACTTGTTCTACATTCTTTCTTTGTGTTTTTTTTTCGTTTAATTAATAGAGTATTTCCGAATCTGAGAATCCTGTATTAAAAGGAATTTATATTGATGAAGATGAACCACCATTAATACCAAGTTTAGATGGTTTAACTGTTTTACATTATGCTGTACTTGTTCCAAATGAAATGGGTGTAAAATTAACAGAAATTCTATTAGAAGATGGTTTAGCTGATCCAAATAAACAAGCTACGATAGATGACAGTTTCAAATTAAAAAGTCAATTCAACACTTCAATAATATCCGGAAATTCAAGTGTATGTACATAAAAAGTATCATGTATAATCGAATCTGAATCAATTTATTACATAATTTTAGTAAAATATGGATTCATGTATGATTAATTGCCATGCTTTGTATACTATGACATGCAACATTGTACATATAAGATGTAGTAAACCTATAAGTGAATTGAAGCCAGATCACCATGGAAAACCTGGAAGCACTGGAAGGCCGTTTCGTCTTGTTGTGGGACTCCTCAACATCCCACACCCAAGATCCCACCCCGCAGAATTCGGATCCAGAACCTATCGGTCGCGCGCGCGAGCGCCTAACCTCTGGACCACTGAGTCGGGATTCAACAATCTTAATGTCTAACATCAACCAATCCACGAATCTTGAGATGTGGGATAGTGGATGCTCACTGCTGAGGGATCCCATACTAGGACGGAACGGCCGTCCAAGGCTTCCAGGTTTACCATGATGGTCTAGCTTCAATTCACTAATTAATTTAAGTATTAGAATTTACTATAATATCCACAAAACCCTTCTCTGGTTATGAATAAAAGTTGACTGAAGATTACCCTTTACTAGTCTGCAGATTGTCACGAAGCTAATTATTTCTAAAATCACGACGTTTTCAATGATATTAAGTAACAGTTGACTTTAGTAAATATGGTTTGATAGAGTGATTGATTTTGTATATTGTTGTTCAAGAAATTTGTATTTTACTGAACCTGATTATTAGTCCAAAATTTAAAAGTTGAAGGCATTTCTCATTTATCCATGTGTCTACTGGTAATCAGATATCATAGAACATTGATTTCAAACTTACATTTGATTTAATCCTTGTATTACTTACTTACTGACGCCTGTTACTCCCAATAGAGCATAGGCCACTGACCCGCATTCTCAAACTCACTCTGTCATGGGTCTCCCTTTCTACTTCTCGCAAATTGTTGATCATTCTTCTCATGTCTGCTTCCATTTTTCGGCATAATATGTTCTTTTGTCTCACTCTCCACCTTTGGCCTTGAGGATTCCGTGTGAGGGATTGCCTTTTGACGCAGTTGAGTGCTTTCTTCAATGTGTGTCCTATCCACTTCCAGCACCTCCCTGATTTTTTCCTCCGCTGGGATCTGATTTGTTCTCTCCCACAGTAGGTTGCTGCTTATAGTGTCTGGCCGACAAATCTGAAGCATTTTGCGTAGACGAAGCAGCTGATGAATACATCATGGATTTTAGTGTCCCTTCTCCCCCCCCAGCTTATATCAATTTATGGCGAAGATAACCTTTAAATATTAATAAAAGAATATGTAAAACCCTAAGTTTAATTTAATATATCCCTTTAAATTTTAGGTGCATATGCATTTATTCGTGTAAGCTCTAACCATCTGTATGTTCTGTAGTAATCTTTACCCCCACTTGCTTTTTGTCATCTTCCGTCTCTAACTTATACACGAGAGCATTATATATGTAACTATTAATGATAATCTGTCCCCTAAATGGACTGATATTTGTGAATCTTTATCTCGCGAAGCGGGATCGTGGATGCGCACTGCTGAGGAATCCCATACTAGGACGAAACGGCCGTTCAGTGCTTCCAGGTTTTTCATGATGGTCTAGCTTCAATTGATTTATTATCTCAACTATTAAAATTATTATTATATCCACAAAACCTCATCTGAAATTACATAATAATACCTCGAATTGACTGGACTTAAACGTATTAAAAATTGAATGATAAAATAGTGATGTAATGATAACATGTTCACTATGAGGCTTGAATATCTTAGATTTGATCCTCGCTAATATCATGAATACCTACTACTGGAAAGTCTAGTAGTAAAATAAACGTTTCTAAGTCCTAATTTATTGTTCAACGGTTGAGTTGACTGGTTTAAACCGTTCTCCAACTGATCATTCTTGATGTTTTAAAGACATACTTTACTACGAAATGCGTGAAATCACATTATTCACAAAATGTATTCACTAGAACTGTTTACACATAGTTATAAAGAAAGATTCCGTTTTTTTTCAAAATGGATAGTGATAAGTCTTGTGGACTGAACGCTATATTCGTCTCCTAAGCTATTCTGTAACCCCCAAGCTAGAACTATACAGCGACCTGAACACGAGAGAGAAGACTCAAAGTATGCGAGAAGTAGTTTACTCCAAGGTTCCTTTTAATACAGAAAATACAGGGATTTTATAATATTTTAAATGTCCTTGGGTTGCTAGAAAATTCTGGAATGCTACTAAACATAGTAGCAGTGTAGCACCCAACCAATCAAAGCCTCTACTTATGACATTTCGCTTCCTTGATATTTTTGACGATGACTTCAAGTGAACACTGATTGGATGAAACGCTTCTTAGTGTTTCCTGATGCTTGCTTTTCTTTTGCAAGCAATTTTCTGGATCACCCCAACAGATAGTTCTAACCCTTTTAAAATGATGCACATTTACTTTGTTATTGTTTATTCATTATTTGCACAGTTTGCATCCATTATTTTGTTTTGGTAGAAATACACCAGTTTCTTTTTTCTTTATCACAAGATCTATGTTGTAAGTAAAGGGGTAGTACTAATTACTACTTGTGTATACATTTTATGATGTTACTTTATGAATGCACTGATGATATCTGCTATGTTGTGTTATTATTAGAATACAAAACTTTGTGAAGATTTATAGAAAGCTTATATGATAGACTCTTTTCCAGTTGGAATATCATTAAAACCATGAAGTACCAGATGGTTGTATAAAATTCGCAACAACGTTCAATAGTAATTTCAAAGGTGATCAAGATGAAGAGTTTAAGACATTGTAGTGACTGTGTTATTATCATATAATTGATACTTTCAAAATTAATCAACCTGCAATATTCAGTGATGATTATCTTTTGTACTTGACGATATCTAGATAATGACCCACCCAACCCAACCCCATAGTATTTACTAATGATTAGACAATTGGGACATATCAACTATCTAATACTTCCAATTTTCACAGGGTATTTAGTGGTCAAATTAAGTTCATAATGTTGCGTATTTTATAAAGATTCTCAAACGTTTTCACATTGTTAATAGATTCACTAAGATATCTTAATCTTTTTATCATTATTTCAAGGAGTTAAATTCAGGCAAAACAACACCTGAAGAAAATAGAATGAATGAAGGTCGAACTCCATTACATTTGGTTTGTTCCCGTGAATATGATTTACTGGTAAATGATTTTATTATAATTGAACTACAACCAATGACTTACAACATAGGTAAATGCATTTCCTACACTTCTACCTAACAGACTAAGCTAATAAGAGAACTAAGTAATCACTAGGAATCTATAACTGGCAAAATTGATTCAATTGATATGCAAACTATTAGTATGTATACAATTATTCTACTGATTTGATTATCGACATATAGGTTGTAACTCTGACTAGGAGCATAATCAGTATGTTTTGTTTGTAATTCCTTATTTACTGTCAGACTTTGAGACAGTATGCAATCATAGGTACATATTATGCCTAGATTCACTTAGACTATGATGAATCATGTAATATTTACTAAGTATATCATTTATATCCCGGTGAGAATTATGAATGGTAGTTTTTAAGAACTATTTATGGACAAACATTAAACGTATATTCGCAATGTATAATTATTTAGTAGCAAGATTATGTATATCTATACTTCTCTTATTATAAGCTTTATTTTGATTCATGGACTATTATTAAACGATCTACTATTCCCAAGTTATTACCAATCTATCAGTCACAGTCTTTCATATTCACAGCCACTTTTGGACTTCATCTTGTACAAATTTTATCTTCTATTTATGGTGTAATGTGTTCTATACGGTTTGTATATAAACTCAGTATGTTTGAAATACATGTTTCCAATCTCAGAGGCTGAGATTGGTGTTCTGGACTTAAAAGGAAAAGATAAGCAGGGAGAAGGATCGATAAAGACTCTAGACTGCTCGTACGAGTCTATGTGTTATTGTTCTCTATTTCAATCAGTCAGTCAGTTACAACGTAGGATCAGGCACACATATGCAATAGCACAACAACATAAACAACGGATTCATAGAAGCAGTTAACTCAATGGTGGTAATATATAAAAGAAACATTGCATATAAAAACACAGTACAGGAAGAAAGAATTAGTTGGTAGAAAGAAGGATATGAAGCGATTTTAATCTCACGGTTTAAGGGAAGACAAAGAGTGTGTACACCTACGCCATTGTGATCGATTCTGAGCCATCTCACACACAGTCTACAACCATTGGTTACGATAGTCACACGGACTCCAACAAAGTAGTCTGCATCTACCATCCACATGGCTCAGACCACAAGTTATTGACTTCAAACACTGATGCTCAGTTTTGGTTTGGCCACCCCTAACATTCTTCTAACTATTTCCAACATCACTCAGCATTGCGCGTTGTGATAATCGGTGTTCAGGCATACGTAACACGTGACCCAATCATCTCAGTCGATAAAAATTCATAACCACATCAACTGATTTACCATCATTCTCTAATACCTTTCGTCTAACCTCACTATTACTTACCCGATTATCCCAGCAGATGTGAGCCATATTTCTAAGGCATCTGCAGTGGAATCATTACATTATACATTAATAGGACATAAGGTCACAAGTTATAACAGTTTTCAACTTAGTACAATATTTGTTCGGTATATCATTCTTCTGTATTAATTTTAAGCGTTATTCGTTCAGCACCCTTTTCAATATTCGTTCATATTAGCTTAATATGGCATTCGTTCAGTATAATGTTCAGTTGTATGACTTTGTTGTAAAATTCATATATACTATTCAAGTCACGTATAATATTCATTGGCTAACCATAGAATCATTGTAAAATCTACTGAAACCAAATCACGAAATCATCAGTAAATTGATGAGCAAATTTCTATTCATTGAAAAGTAAATTGTTATCCAATTAATATTAGCTGACAATGCAAAGCAATTCTACAAACGTATCTTCTAAAACTTATGTCAAGTATGAATAGATCTTCATTAGTGACTAGGTTTGAAATCAGTTTATCAAAGATCTATTGAGAAACCATTAGAAATCAGTAGAGTTTAAATTACTAAAAAGTGCTGCACAGGATATTTGACGAATTATTTCATGAACTGAATAAGGAAATGTTAATAAAAGCCATTGTATTTAAATTTACTGATCCAGATGTATAGAGCTCAATATAGAATCTTAAAAAAATATTAAGTTCAGTCTTATAGAACGCCATGATTGATCATTGTTAACGAGTTCAAAACTAAGAAGGGTGAGACTATAATTTATGGACGAATCAATCAGGTATTAGATAACAGGTCTCGGATTTTGACGCGAAAGTCAGTCATCCATTTTAGTCGAATAACGTTTTCACATTCTAGTTCGTAATGAAAACTATAAATCAAATTCCTAACCTTAACCATCAACTGTAAATTACAATTCTAATTCCTCACACAGGTTTATAACCCTCATTTGCTCCTGGTTATTAAGTGGACACTCTCAAGATCAGTCTAGCGTCGCTCAAATGTCGTCCATAAATTATAGTCTCACCCTAAGAAGAAATAACTATTTATTGCTTTGTAATCCTCAATTTATTATTTGAATAAAAACCCTAATATATTGAGTATAGAATGAAATAAACTCAATTCTCATTGTAACTTTCCTTTTTATATCCGTTAGAATTCAGCAGTCATTACAAAATGCCTTTTAAAGCATAATGCTAATCCAAATTTATTGTGTAACGGTCATTCAGCGCTCAGTGTTGCTATAGCAACTGGAAATGATCCAGTAGGTTTTTTCATTTGACATTCAAACTAATATTTTGAACTATTTTCTTTTTAACTTTTCACTATAATACTTGTCACATTAAATGTTTCTATCTCTCTCTCTCTCTGAGAAATTCGGCGGAGGGTGTTGTTTACGAAATCGAGAGGATGAAAAGCGAATGTCTGGCGCTTTAACCAGGTTGGTAGACACGGAGAGTCCATCTATGGGAGTTGGAAATCTCTGATTCCAAACCAATGGTGCACATGGGCTCCGGAATCCTAAAGGAACTAATGGTGTATGAACCAATTGTTGGTCACCGGCTACCATGAGGCTGTATCTTCTAACTTTGCTCCACTGCCTTGTGAATCAGACCTTTATGTCGAAGGCTCCAGGTGTGGTCCCTTAAGGAAAGCACCTCCTTCGGTTTGGGTACCCGAACAGTATCCCAGACCTTACACAAACCGAGTGATTTATGTGGCGCATATCTACTTGATGCCTCCTTGTACCAATGTTTATGTGCTCAAAAAAATAAATAGATTATGCATATTTAATGAATCTATTTAAGTTTTCCTACAGGATATCCTGTTTAAACATTGACAAGTCAATAAAGTGTAATTTCATCTTAATTAATTCAGTTCATTAACCTTCCCGAACCCTTGTAAAGACTTCAATGGATTTGTAAGAGCTCTTACACAATTCTGTGTCAATTTCATGTATTCAAGCTAAGCCTAAGGAGCTAATGGGTGTAATGATATTTTACTGTCACATGAATAGACAAATTTCGTGCCAAAACCAAAGAGAATCTATATGATTAGGTCGTTCGTCAAATATAGTCCTACTCAAACTATGGAGAAAGACTTGGACATTTACCACGTCTAATACTATCACTCATACTGTCAAGTGGCAGAAAATATTTTTTCTTTATTGTTTTATACACCTTAAGTACTTTACAAAGATATTTCTGTTGGTCATTATAAACTGTATTTGAATTTTGCGCAAAACACTTACAAGTCGAATTCTCTATTCTGATTGGTTCATCCCTACACCATATTTTTACCCATGTTTTCTATTCAAAGTAACATAGTAACTAGCGTTGAAATGCAGCACACTGTGAATAAGTGGCAATATCGAAGCTGACCTTTCAAAATGTGAATATGTCATTAGAGACAAAGAAATTTCAGGTTTAAACATTAACAACAATTAAGTAAAAGCCTTTACAAAGATTACCATTGTTAGAAAAAAATAAACTATTTCAAAATATCAGATTGAGGGGTTTTGTGGAGATATTTGTAATTTTATAGTTGAGTTCATGCGTTAATTAAAGCTAGATCACCATGAAAAACGTATAAGCACTAGACGGCTGTTTCGTCGTTGTATGAGACCCATCATCAGTGCACATCCAAGATCCCGTTCGTGAAATTCGAACCCAGGACCTATCAGTCTCGAATGCCAAGATTTAACCTCTAGACTACTGAGACAGCATTCAATGTTGTTATTATTATGACTTGTACATAAATTCACCCTTCTTTTGTTTCATTTACGTTTTATTTTTGTTTTCAATATTATTTTGTTTTAGTGTATTAATATCTTAATAAATCATCAGAATACAAATATTAATCAACCATTAGGAGATGGTTTAGGTTCAGCTCTTTGTATTGCATGTTCAAGTTTATTTGAATTTAGAAGGCCAATTGAATCACGTTTAGAATTAATCAAATGTTTAATTAATAAAGGTGGTATCGACAGTTTTAAAACATTTGTTTTATTAAAATCCAAGGGAATTTTCGGTGAGTTTACTACATATTTTTCTATTAAACATGAACTCAACGAATAGATAATATCTTTTTTTCATTTAGCTAATGATCACTACTTTATACATGGGCCACAAATACCCTGGTACGGCCGAGAGTGGGGAGAGTCAGCTTTCTCTTTCCAAATGCTCTCATATCGCCTCGCGTATACAGCCACTTCCAGGGTAGTCCTGTTCACTACCTTCTCGTGGCGGGGGTGTTGTTTACGAAATTGAAAAGATGAAAAGCGAATGTCCGTCATTTTAGCCGAGTTAGTACACACAGAGAGTCCACATAGGGGAATTGGAAAACCCTCATTTCAAACCAATGGTGCACATGGGCTGCCTCCAGGATCCTGAAGAAACAAATGGCGTATGTACCTATTGTTGGTCATCCGCTACCATGGGACTGCAACTGCTGACATTGCTCCACTGCCTTGTGGATCAGACCTTTAGGTCGAAGGCTCTGAGTCTGACCCCCTAAGAAAACCACCTACTTAGGTTAGGGAACCCGGGCAGTATCATAGACTATACCTACACATTAGTTTTAAGTCCCAGGTTCACCGTAGTTGGCAGTACTCATATCTAGTTGATTCCAACTTATAATGTGATGTAACTTTAAATCAGACACAAACTCCACAAAACCAACATAAATCAATCTATGTATTAGTATTTAGAAACACCGCATACAGTGGTCTTGAGTGCTGTTAGGGGTATGAGGGCGGTTATCTTTTCCCGTTTGCCCACGCCGTGGAAGGGTTCTTTTGGAGGCACCTGAAAAGAAAATTGAGTTAGAGATGGTTTTACTGACCTGATAGCGGGACCGCAGTGCCCAAGGAACACCTGCCAAAGGTCGGTCACGCACGACCTTTTTGTGGGTAATCTTTGTGTCAGATCCGTACTTGTTGAGACCGTACCGCCGGAGACGAATATCCGTGGGATGAGGTGAGGTGTTCATGTTTGAGATTGACCTTTTCAAACTTCACCTATCCTTGTGAAAAGGCAGCATCACTTTCATGACTGTTGTCTGGAGGAAACACCTTACTGCCGTCACACCTCTGTACAGTCTGTAGTACGACTTTGCCTTCGGACCTTGGGTTTGCTGCTTTTAGTCTTACCGTTCTCCAGTCGACCTGTCTGGGGTGGTAAGATCTTGAGAAACGATCGTTCCAGCCAGTATAGCTCGACTGGTTTATCACGACAGGCAAGCCCGACCACTACGTCAAGATAGCAACAACGGTCGGGTAATCGGAGGTATAACAACTTGGACTGACTGATTTAGAAACACAGTGAAAGTATACTTCATTGACAAGTACTTTGTAGCCGTATTTATAACTAAGTTAACAGAGAATCTTTTCACTTCAAATCTCAAAGAACAAATATGTTACTGAAATGGGAGATTATGTGCAACAATCCAAAGTTGCTACATTAAACTTGATTAGTTTATTAACAAAGTATATTTATCATAATAAATCTCTTATGTATGTTTTCTCATTATTATTATATATAACAGGGAATGTAATAGATTTCACTTATATGGATTATGCAAAAGATACAAGAATTTCTAAAACACCATATCATGCATTAAATGAAATTGAAAAAGAAACTTATAATGGAAGAATGCAAATATTAACTTATTTAGCTAATCAATTAAGAGAATATGCTTATTCGATAGAACATCTTATTGATGATGATAATCACAATATTGAACAAATAAATTTAGATCGAAATGAAGTTAAAGATAAACAAGACAATTGTCCTATTAAAACATGTAAGTATAACTACGTTTGTTCAGATTATGTAATAATAGTGAGTGAGTAACTGAAGAAGGTTTGATAGGATGAGTATACTGCACGGCAGTTCGTTCTGTTCTACTTTACGGCTGCAAAATGTGGACATTAAGAGTAGAAGATATACGTAATTTACTAGTATTTGGTCACAGATGTCTTAGAAATATTGCTCACATCTGCTGGGATCACCAGGTAAGTAGAGGTAGGGTATTGGAGAATGATGACAAATTAGTTGATGAGGTTATGAATCTTCATAGACTAAGATGGTTGGGTCACGTGTTACGTATGCCTGAACACTGATTATCACAACGCGCAATGCTGAGTGATGCTGGAGATAGTTGGAAGAATGTTAGGGGTGGCCAAACCAAAACTGAGCATCAGTGTTTGAAGTCAATAACTTGTGGTCTGAGCCATGTGGATGGTAGATGCAGACTACTTTGTTGGAGTCCGTGTGACTATCGTAACCAATGGTTGTAGACTGTGTGTGTAGCATGGCTCAGAATCGATCACAATGGCGTAGGTGTACACACTTTTTGTCTTCCCTTAAACCATGAGATTAAAATCACTTCATATCCTTCTTTCTACCAACTAATTCTTCCTGTACTGTGTTCTTATATGCAATGTTTCTTTTATATATTACCACCATTGAGTTAACTGCTTCTATGAATCCGTTGTTTATGTTGTTGTGCTATTGCATATGTGTGCCTGATCCTACGTTGTAGGTGACTGACTGATTGATCCTGTTACTTGTTCAAAATTGATTACATGCACTTTTCCAGATCAGTTAACTTGTATTGTACTTAAAAGTTTTATGGTTACTTCATATTAAGTTATTCAAAAATATAAATAAGAAGTTCCTAGTTTAGGTTTCTATTTAGTTGACACACTTCAGAAAGGTCTATCTACAATGTTAAAGATAATGGTAATGGTATCATAGTAAGAGATATTACCATTGAGCTATTCACTTCATAACCGTCGTTTCATGATCAATAGGAGCATAGAAAAACTGACAACTGATTTTAATTAAAATGACTTAGATCACAAAACAATCGAAAAGGTTATACATATAGTGATTGCATAACCATTGGTAACAACTGATCTTATCTTAGGTTGACTGTTTGTCCCTTGTAAGAAAACTGTAATAGGACACACTATTTCTTAAAGCATATGTTAGTAATGTTTTATAAGAATATGATCAATATTTCATGACTAAACGGTCTGTTATATCACAGAACATAATGTCATTGAACTACTCCTTCTTCACTGGTTACTTGTTTTCTTTGAAGGATAACTATGCTATCATTTCACTTGACTAACATTGTGACTCAAACCCGTATAATCTAACGGTCATTTGAACGCTTGCAAACTCTGAAGAACTTACTAAAGATGGATTATAGCCATCAATGGAATGTAGGACGCACATTTCATACTATTCGGGACTCTCTAACTGGATGCGCCTCCATTCAAATATTGATACTAGCATTGAGGCTTGAATCCAATATTATTTCACTTTAAGTGACCATGCATTATCTGCTGATCTATCAAGTCCGGATACACATTAGCTTTCTCAATCGGCACAAAGCTATTTACATGAAATAGTATAAGTTTTCTCTTTACTGAGATAAAGATCTTTACTTGGTCAACTATACCAAGACATATATTCTTGAGAAACTTATTTTACTTACCATCCTAAATTCATATCCTGTATTATTTTTAAATGGATCTGTTACTTTTAATCTTTTTGTTGGAGTTTTGTTCTCTGAACTGGATGGTTTGGTCGTAGAGCTTTCATCGTTCTTCTGAACGACATCATCAGTACAAACATCAGGTAGAAGTGAAGTGTTCGAATTTTTCCTCATGTGGTTCACAGCTTGTCCTGTACACCTCGATGTTGATTGGTTCTTGTTGACCTTAAACCTGTCATTGTTTACTTCTTTATTTTGATTGTATCTCTCATTAGTTTGGTTTTTATTCCGATGTTTGTGCATAATTTTCTAGATTTCGTTGATAAATTGAATCGATTTCAATGTGCTTGTTGATCATCAATTCGAACTCTTAACTGTAGGATTCAATGAGAATTTCTTGAAAAGTATGGGGATTAAATTCTATAATCCTGTTGTTTCTTTTTCAGCATCTTCTAAACCTTCGCGTCAAGAATCACCCACTTATCTTAAGAAAAACAGGTTTGTGTACACTAGATTTTTTTCAATTTTGAGACATTCAATAAATAAAGACAATTAGAATAAACTATGAGTATAGAGCTGTGGAGCTTAATAAGTTTTTGATTGAGATCATGAACTGATTGATGTTAGATCACCATTAAAAACCCGCGAGCAAGATCGTGGATGCACACTGCTGAGAAGTCCCACAATAGGACGAAACGGCCGTCCAGTGCTTCTAGGTTCCCAAAGGTGGTCTAACATCAGTCGGTTCATGATCTCAATCAAAAACTTAATAATCTCCACAACCTCTATACTAGTACTCACGTTTGGTTAACTCAACTGAGGCTAAATGAACTTTAGTACCAGTTTTAGTAATTTTACATTGTTTTTCAGGAGAACCAGACACCATCCAGACTTTCACGTGACAACGCAAACATTACAGCTTAATCCCAATTCACAGAAAAATCATACACCGTATAGGCTTCAACGCTACGATTTGAATAGTACAGCTCAATCCTGTGGCGCAACCATGCAGGTACCAATTACCCTGGTGGATCATTCGCACTATTCTCATACATATTCACGTCACATGTATAGTTATTCCGATCAATGATCGCGTGAATCAATTATGCACAGCAAGAACAGGCCAAAGTTGACCTATTCCGCTTACACGAAAGTCAAACTCATTAATGTTAGTGATGACAACATGCCTTATAATTTCCCAATGACAGTCGCCCTTGAGAACACTGAAAAGGAACCACCAGCATAAATGAAATCGGTTAGCCAGCAAACCAGTTTTGTGCATAAACAGTCATCAAAACTTGCTAAAGTAATGCCGAACCATCCACAATATCAATGGTGAACCTTCAATCTTATATGAGACCTTTAGATCTACATAAGAATATAGCTTATACTACATACAACACATATGTGGGGTAGTAAACGAAATAGCCCAGCCTGAAGTGCTATGGTTTAAATAACGCTTAAAACCCATTGTCTGGTGTCGGGATACTATTACTAGACCACCAAGATCACTTTTATCGCATTTGCAAAATTTTCATTTTTCCTACTTTTCGGACCATGCCTGAGTTAGGGGTAGTATCCCTGAACTTTACTACTGAATGACGTTTATTATGTTTTCACAAGCAGCGTGAATTTTCTAGTCATCAGCAAATTTACATCGTGTAATAACTCCTGATTATTTACAATTCAAACCATTTTGTTAATTTCATTGAAATCGTGAGCCGATGAGTGTTAGACCACTATTTGAAACTTGGAAACACTGGAGGGTCGTTACATCCTAAGATATGACTCTTCAAAAGTGCTTATCCACGACTCAACACGCGGAAATCGAATCCACGATCTACAGCCCCGCGCTCAAACGATTAGATCCTCGAGTGTGGGGTAATGGATGCGCATTATTGAGGAGTCCTATTCTAAAAAGAAAGCCATCTGGTGCTTCCAGTTTTCTAGTGGTGTTCTAACACTCATCCAAAGGTGCAGAATTTCAATCACTTATCTTGTATTACTTCATAACAACGACCGATGATACTCAGGACCTAGTGGTTCTTCATCCTACTTCTTACGGGGACAGTGTTAAGCAGTGTTAAAGAACGCCAAAGAATGACCAAACGGTAGTTCACCACCCCCTACTAATTCTTAATGGTTTTTTGGACAATGTTGGTTTATCATCAAAACTAACTTTAAATTAAATAATCTCTACAAACTTCAATTAATGTTTAATACATTCTCATTTTCTTTGCTTTTTAGTTGTATATCCTATTCGTTTTGCTATGAATGTGGACGTTCTGTTGGTGTACGTCTAACAGTATGTTCACGCTGTCATAGAGTATATTTTTGTTCCAAAGTTTGTAAATTAAAATCATGGACAATGCGACATAAAAACGAATGTTATTTAACTCCAGGTAAATGAAGTATAAGTAACTCTTAAGAATTTTAAATCTCATATCATTGTTGTCTTCATTAAGAGATTTAAAAAATAATTGATCAGTTTTATAAGCAAAGATGGATAGTGACTAGCAGTGAAATCTAGGACTCACGGTTCCTCCTATTTGGGACTCGTCAACTGAATGTACTTACATCCCATGGTTGGTGTTCACTCTAGGACTCAAATGCAATACCATTCGTTTCAAACGCCATCGCGTTATCCATCTTTGCTTATTGAGGCAGTCCAGATAGGATGTACATATGCCAACAAGAGACTGACCATTTGCAGTCTCAAACAACAATGGGGATATAAGCAAGCAACACTACCAAGTGAATTGATCAGTTATTTGTCAAAAAATAACACCTAAATATAAAATGATAATTATTCTCAACTCCATTTAATAAGGTCTGTGTATAAATATCGATTAACGCTTGGTTAAATCGAGTTGACTCACACGCCTTCTCCATTGCGCGTCATTTCACTCCGCATTCTTCTTTTCTCTGATCTTTTGTCTTGATCAATGAGTATACAAAATATACGTACTCGAAATTCGTTCTTGTATTTGATTTATTTATTCCCGTTATTGACTAACGCGATTTAATTCGATGATTATATACGAGGATTGATGATTTGTGTACTTCAATAACAATCATTCATACGATATTATCGGAGTCAGATCCCGGGTCACTAAACTTTTACGTCAAAGCATTCTGTCATATCATTGTTCCACCAAAATAAGTATTCACCTGATTCTTTGAAAATATCCCAGTTGTTCACAGTTTAACCTTCAATAAGATCTACATGCACATGTACAGTACTTTCGTCTTACAATAAAAAATTATACTATTTACTTTCATAAATAATTTTAAAATCCTAATAATTGGATTTCTACTATATTATTGCCTCAAGAGTCCTAAAAGCTTTGGATGATCATTTGAAGTGATTTCTGAATCTTGCTAAGTCAATGAATCAATAATATTGATTGGATATTTATCATTTGCCAAGTTACTCGCTTAATACAGTCATAATATACTGAAGACATTTCATATTGCATTAATATCTTACTATTATTCGTAATTCAATATGAATTTCAAAGAAGAAAATTGATACCCTTAAGAGACTGATAACATTGATCAAGTCCAACCGAAATACGTTTTTGTTGCCAACGTTTTTTTTATTTTTGAATAAATTACCTTAATATCAGTTACCAGCTGGATGATTCGTAATAAACCTGTACTCATTGTTATTGTCCATGTTATGAAATTCTCTTTATTTATTATTGAAAAGAATTTTACAATAGTTGATCATTTGGTATTCTTGAAAATTAGCATCCATTAGTTTAACTGTTACTAATAAATGTTAAATGTTGTGAAACTCAGACTAATGAAGGTAGATACTGGCGACTATTCTACTGTAGGACTGAAATGTATCTACAATTAATTGATCATTGGGTAGAAATCAATGTTATATATTTCAGGTCCTTATTACTGCATATCGAATACTATGGATTGATTTGCAATGTAGCCACTAGTCTAGGTGACTGCGTGCACTTTGTTACAGATACACTTTGCTAACGAGTGCCAAGTAGCACGAAACTTGTTGACTACCTCCAACCACCATCTTATCTCAACAAAGTGCACTCAATGTCGAGTCGCGTAGATTAGTGGCAATTTGGTCGATAGGATTCAATCTGCACTAAGAAGGGCCTGACATATATGACATTGATCACTACCCAGTGATCAGTCAATTGTAAACATAACCTGAAACCAAAGTTCTCGAAGATCCTGTAAGAAACCTTTATCTGTAGTGGTTAAAAAGTTCAGAGTAAAACACATACCTTCTTATGACAATAAATAAAGAGTACATTTTATTTTAGTTATTCAGTCAGTTACTTAGTTATTATTAACGTGGAACCTGATACCTAACTTGATGAGAAAAAGATATATGAGGTTAATCGAAATAACCCTTATGATCATTAAAACTTACTATGTTGATAGCTGTGGAAAACAACTTTCATTAGCTTATTTCTGTATTTTAGCTCAAAATTAGAATGAAAGGTTTATTATAAACTAAAGTAGACTAAACAATCCAACACCATAAAACTATTCCTCCTTAATTTAAAATAATCTCTACCATTTAATACTGAATACAGTAAATGGCTTAAAATCAATCAACGTTTTAATTAAAAATGAAAGTATCCTGTCAGTTGGTATAAATATTTTCCAATACGAAGCACAGCACTAGATAAGTTCACATGGTATTGTTCACGTGAATCTTCCAATTGATAATTAGGACTGTAATTCATCATTCTCTTATTGACATATGTGCATAATATGAGGAATACTTCGATACTGCCTTAATTCACAAGCATTCTAAGCAAAGATGGACAGTAGTCAGTAGTGGAATCAAGGATGTGTGTTTCATTCTATTTGGGACTCGTGAACATTAACTCTGAGATGCAGGTAAATCCAGCTGATGAGTTCCAAATAGGACAAAATGAGCGTCAAACTGGATTCCATTGCTAACCACTATCCATCTTTGTTTAGACAGCACTAAATAGTTTAAACTTATTTAAAGACGGTATATTTAATTACTTATGTATTCTAATTAATCATATTATGTCAATATTAAACATTTAACGAGTACAATCTATGTTTCATTGAAATTATAGAACTTCAAACTGAACGAGATCGACGAAGTCCTACAAAAGTTCTACCAAAACTTACAGCAAATAAACACGTGAGTAAACATTAAATTATTCAATAACTGAATTCATGAATGAATTCAACTGAAGCTAGACCATCATGAAAAACCTAGAAACACTGGATGGCCGTTTCATCCTAGTATAAGACCCCTCAGCAGTGCGCATCCACGATCTCGCTCTGCAAGAATAATACCGTTGGATACCGGCTCAGTAGTCTACAGGTTAAGCATTCATGCGCGAGACCGATAAATCCTGGGTTAGATCGTGGATGCACACTACTGAGGAGTCCCACATTAGGATGAAACGACCGTCCAGTTGTTCTAGGTTTTCCATGGTAGTCTAGCTCCAATTGACTTATGAATTCAACTAATAAACTACTACAATATCCATAAAACCCCTTTCTGATCATAATCATATGCTCACTAATGGACTGTCTTCAAGAGGTATTTCTTGGAGTTCTAGTGAGAAGCAATGACTAGTGGAATGCAACCCGGTATGTTGTGGGATACTAACTCAATGAAGACAATAGTGGATGGTGACACGATTTTGTGAATTGGTGGAAGTTAGACATTAACACCGATGGATGCTGGCTCAACGGTCTTCAGGTTAAGCGTCCGCGCATCAGACCGATAAGTCCTGGATTACAAATCTCGCGGGGCAGGATCGTGTATGCGCACTGCTGAGGAGTCCCATACTAAGATGAAACAGCCGTCCACTTCTCCTAAACATTTCATAATGTTCTAGCTTTAATGGACTGATGATCACTCAACTATTAAAAAAATTACTAAAATCTCCATAGAACCTATCTCTAGTTCTAGCACTGTTACGTTCGTTTTTTTTTCTCTTCTTTTTTTCTTTTCTTTTCTTTTCTCTTCCATATTTATCCAGGAAAAACGTCAACAATCAATACAACAACATATAAATCATACATTAAATTGGAATTTATTAAATCATTTAACATGTTGTACAAGTAGTGGTGAATTCATTGGTATTTTATATCATCCAAGTTATTATTATCAATATATATTAAATCATTATTTAAAAATTAATGAAAATGGTCATATTATCATTGGAAAATATAATGGTAATGGAAATTATAGTCTTATTTAATGACATTAGATTAAAAAAGAAAAATTCGATGATTTTCTTTTTTTCTTTTCTTTTCTTTTTCCTTTTTCTTTGCTTTTCTTTTCGTTTTTCTTTCTTCAAGTTTTCTTTTTTTGCAAAGGATTAAGTATTCCGTTTTGTCTATTTCTTCCATTACTTGTTTGTTTGATTTTAAAGAAGAAAAAAAAAGAGAAAAAACTAATAATGACAACAATCTTATGTTAAAATGAAAAGTATTTTATTGTACATTATGAAATTTAAGAAGATTTATGAAAATAATTAAATTTATATCTGTTTATATCTGTTAGATTTATTGAAACATTCAGGGTCATCCAATTGAGATATGCACAAAACAGGAGGTTCACAAAACAATGATTTGTCTAAACTAGCAATTCTTTATTGAATAACATTTATTTTATTTCAACACATAGATATTGGTACAAGGAGGCACTAAATACATATGCGCCACGCTGATCTCATTTGGTATGTGTGACGGCTGTGATACTGCTCGGGTGCCCAAAAAAGAAGCAAGTGGTTTTCTTAGGGGGCCACTCCCCGAGCCTTTGACCTGAAGGTTTGATCCACAAGGCAGTGGAGCAACGTAAGGAGATGCAGTCCCATGGTGGCCGGTGACCAACGATTGGTTCATACGCCATTCCTTCGGGATACTGGAGGCAACCCATGTGCACCATTGGTTTGGATTGAGGGTTTTCCAGCTCCCCTAGGTGAACTCTCTGTGTGTACTAACTCGGCTAAAATGACGGACATTCGCTTTCCATCCTCCCGATTTCGTAAACAACAACCCCTCCACGAGAAGGCAGTGAGTAGAACTTCCCTGGCAGAGGCTATATACGTGTGGCCACGTGAGAGCATTTTGAGAGGGAGAGCGGACACTCCCCAATATACAAAAATTAGTTACAAACCTCAAATTGTGAGGTGTCTGTGGCATTTCACATGTCCTTTTGTATAAAATAAAAAAGGCTTCGATAGTGTAAAAGACAGCTGATAGCTGTGTCTAATACTTGATAACAGTTTTTCAACAAGCAAAACACGAACCAAGAACAAACAATATGGAAGCCGTTGCATTTAAACAAAGGTTAAACAAAAATGCACAAAATTGAGGATAACTACTACAGTGATTGAGATAAAGTAATTATAATGATAAATACAATAAGCGTCATAAGTATATGTAAATATTTGAGAATGTTCACAACTTGTATTACAACATAAGTTTAAAAATTGCTGGGAATACAACTATTTACTGGATTTAAATAAGTAGTATAAAACAATATACAAAAGAGTGGAAGAGAAGCGAGTAGGAACAATGTAAAACAAATTGAACAATATCATTGAATAAACTTAACTAGACAACTGGTAAAAACCAAAAGGTTGTGGAGATTATTAAGCTTTTGTTTGTGGTCATGAACCGATTGATGTTAGATCACCATTGAAAACCTGGGAGCACTGGACGGCCGTTTAGTCCTATAGTGGGATTTTTCAGCAGTGTGTATCTATGATCCCACACGCGTGATTCTAACCCAGGACCTTCGGCTTCGCGTGCAAAAGGTTAACCTCTATGCCACTGAGCCGACATCCAACGATGTTAATGTCTAATCTCAACCAATCCACGAAATCGCGCGACCATCTACCATTGTACTGAGTTAGATACTGATATATACCGTAAGTGCTTCTGTAATGAATAATTATTAGTTTACGTTAAATGAAAACACATTCAAGTTGATAAATTCTTCAAAAAGTCAACATTCACCGCAACTGAAAATAAACAATGACTGAGGGCTTTGGGTTCGAACCCTGCGAGAGGAATTGTGTGTGTGCACTCCTGACGTCCCACAATCGGACGAAACGGGTGTCAGGTGCTTCTAGGTTTTCAATGGTGAGCTAAAATCAATCGATTCATGATCTCAATCAACAAGTAGTGAACAGTTGTTTCTTACTATTATGGGGATTTACACTAGTGAGTATACATAACCACTCAAGTTGAACCTCTGGAATAATTATTTGTTGCCCAGTGGTATGCGTTTCTAATTTCAATTATCTTGTGATATTGTGCAATCGTCTTTCAATTTCATTGGTCAATAGCTGCCTCACATATAATGTAGTTGGATTCAACTGATCAGTCAGCTACAACGTAGGACAAGGCACATATATCGTTCGGTCCACTTTGCCACACCTCATTAGCACAACAACATGAACACCGAATTCATAGAACCAGTTACTTCAGTAGTAGTGATATATAAACGAATGATTGTGTATAAGGATATAATAGTACAAGAAGAAAGAATTAGTTGATAGAAAGAAAGATATAAAGCAATTTGAACCTCACAGTTTAAGGGAAGACAAGGAGCGTATACACCTATGCCATTGTGATCGGTTCTGAGCCACGTCACCCAGAGTCTATAACCATTGGTCACGATATTCACGCAGACCCCAACCAAGTAGTCTGCACCTAACGACATGGCTAAGACTAGAAATTTGTGACTTCATCGACTGATGCCACGTTTTATTTGGCCGCCCCTCAACTGGTCAAGATTTCTAATTGGAGATACGGGAATTTCTCTTCGAAATTAGTTATCAGTAAAGACAGAATTATTACTGGTTTTCAGTTTCCAAAGGTTGAAGAACTTCACAGTTAACATCACTGAATGACCCTAACTAGATAACTACTAAAAAAACAAAAAAGTATTTGATGGCTGCTTAGCACTGGTATAGGTCTCCTCAGCACTTCTCACCTACAAATTGAGAACATCTAATCAAATGAGTTTTTTTATGAAAAGATAATTAAGTGTTGCATGAAGTTCTCTTCACAAAATTTAAAATATCAGAGGAAATTTTTATACAATCTCTATATTAAATGTAAATTTACGAAAACAAGTGACGGATACCCCTTCAATAACAGATATCCACGAATCTGTTAATCTAGACGACAGCCTATTCAATTACATTTCAACATTTATTACTGATTAACTTTAGATCCTGATAGATATAATCCTTATTTTGAATAGGTCAAACTGAATAGTTGGTTTCTAATCAATCGTATTCGGGAATAATTGTCTTGAAGCTCTGAATATAGGCCTAGTGTTAATTAGCTTCTTATCATTTAAGCATATATGAAATCCTAATAGAGCTAATGTTCTATGTAGAATCTGGACGAACGATGCACCCAGTGAGATGCTAGTGTGATGTGTGTTACTGATGTCAACAGATATAAGTAGTATGTATCATAAATTGAAAGTTAAATACCTGGAGGCAAAAGGTTAGGAAGATCGAAGAAAAAAGAAGGAGAACAGAGGATGATTGCTGTGGAAATGAACAAACTGTAAGGTATGATATTTACAAAAGGAGCAGTCAATCTTGAGACAATTGACTGACATTTTGATTGAGATCATGAATCGGTTGATGTTAGACCGCCATTGAAAACCTGGAAGCACTGGACGGCCGTTTTGTCCCAATGGGTAGTTCCTTAACAGTGAGAATCCACGAACCCACTCGTGGGATTCGAACCAAGGGCTTTCGGCCTCGTGCGCGAACGTTTAGCCTGTAGACCACTGAGCCAACCGGCATCCAACGGTGTTAATGTCTAACCTCAACCAATCCACAAAATTGAGCGACCATCTTTCATTGTACTGAGGTAGAGACCTGTCTCTACCCGATACGGATCGACATTTTGTAAATGAAGTATTTGCTGTGTGGTTCTCAGATTTTAATAAGATATTCTGTAATGCCGTTTTCAAATACATTCGATTGTCCCCACTTTTGTTCCCGCTTATCACATTAGGACCACGACTGACATCTTACGACAGAATTACTGTTTAAAAAAAACAAACAAATCCACTACTACTACCTTTATTACTGATTCCATCATTACTCACGGTTCTCTTTGTGTTAGTGTATACGTAATCACATAATACAGTTCTAATAAGATTTACAAATTCATAGCCAAAAAATTAAAGATATATTATAAGTTAACTCATACAATCTCTTGAGATGTATTACAGTGATAGTGATAGGTTCACATGAATATATATTAAACCAGATATAGTACAATATCCAAGTAACTCAACACATATCTTATATTCTTAAAGATGTGAAAGGTATTTCACCAAGTTGTTCTACAATTGATCGTTGTTTTCGAGCTACACTTGTAATTTCACATGGTATACACTGATATGTATCAGAAATTTCTTGCTACATATTCAATAGTAAAGAAAAAAGAAAAAAAAAAGGAAAATCAATCAATTTCTTTTCATTATTTTTACTTGTTTTAGTTATTTTCAAAAGGCAAAATCCTCAAATACTACACGGAGAACACTAACACAATCACACTTGATGGAGAAACTCTGGAAGATATGGAATCTTTCATGTACCTGAGAAGCATCATCGATGAACAAGGAGGATCGGATGCAGACATAATGGCGAGGATTGGCAAAGCAAGGGCAACATTTCTGCATTTGATGATCATATGGAACTCAAAACAACTGTCAAGCAACATCAAAGTCAGAATCTTCAACATGAACGCCAAGACAATTCTACTATATGGAGTTGAAACTTGGAGAACTACTACAACCATCATCAAGAAGGTATAAGTATTTCTAAACAACTGTGTACGCAAGATACTCAATATCCGTTGACCGAATACCATCAGCAACAGCCTTCTGTGGTAGAGGACAAACCAGCTTCCAGCTGAAGAGGAAATTAGGAAAAGACGATAGAAATGCATAGGACATACATTGCGGAAATCATCAAACTGCATCACGAAGCAAACTCTAACTTGGAATCCTGAAAGGGAGTGGAAAGATTGAAGGCCGAAGAACATATGTCGGTAAATGGAATCAGATATGAAAAGGATGAACAACAAACGGAAAGAACTGGAAAGGATTGCCTAGAAAGTGGTTGGATGGAGAGTGCTGGTAGGTGGCCCATGCTCCTCCACGAGGAATAACAGACGTTAGTAAGTAAATAATGAAGTATTAAAGACTTAGCTGTATTATGGTTTAATACAAACCTTGAACTGACAATTTATGATAAGCTGTCATAGTAGATAACATTTGATAAAATCAGTTTGATTGGGTACTTTATAATGAGTTTTAAGACAGCATAATTGTCCATGAATAGACAATGAATTCAGATAACTCAATTTCAATAGTTGGACTTTTCTCAGATTAACCTATCCAGGTAAATTGTATTGACAATTAACACACTATCAAAAGTAAACTGGCCTAAAGTAACCGAGGTTGTATAATAAATTAAATGTAAATGTTGGCAAGTATCACTTT